GTTTGAGATCAAAGCAAAAAATTAATGAAATGCACCTCCGGTAGTAGATGTGCCGCGGTGTCGAGGTCTACGGTTTATTTTCGTCGCAGGTCTCCGTGAAGAATAGCAGGTTCAAATGGCAGGGAGAGTGTAGAGTGTAGTGAATGCCAGCTATGTAGGGCCAAGAGTGTACTGAATGCCAGCATCGGCCCTGTGTCTGTGTCTAGCATTATTGAGGGCGAGTATTTGCATGCGATGCACCCACCACATTAAGGTGCAGCAATTTCGGCGGGAAGTTGTTTCCATATCGCTTTGTAAAGATTAATAATAATGTGTGTTTGAGGTTTGATTATGTAGACTTCAACTCTATTGTCAACAATGTTTGACAATTGTAGTGTGAGGTCTCATGGGCTGTTTTGATGTGTTTATGATCTCACCTTTTAATTGTAGGCTGCCCAATATCTTGACATAAGGAGCTTGTTCGATCTCATTACTCTAACGGTAGCTAAGATGATCAAGGGCAAGTCACCCAATGAGATCAGCAGAACATTCAACCAACATCCAGAGAGACATCCCATGGGTGGAAGAAGATCATACAAGGATTGAGAATTTATGGGCATTTCCAGGATAATGATTTGAAGCCCCTTATATCTCTTAATGGTAGAATGATGCTATGTCAGTTCTAGTAGATGTCTTAAAATTAATCTTTATTTGGTTTGGAAATAAATGACTTGCATGCTATTTCCGAACATGTTGCTTTCCAAACACCCTTCGGAAGAAGCTGAATCTTTGTTATCAACCTATCTTTTTCCATAATATGAATACTTCCTAATTTTCAATATTATTGAATACTTCCTATTTTTCAATTTTATTATTTTTAAGAGCAGTCCAATGGGTTTGACACTGGATACCATATAGTACACCTGGTAATACTCATGCTAATGGCTGCCTTGCTTTCTCTCTACATTCTATTGTTCTTCTCCCTCTCCGCTGCATGTTGCCAGTGCCAACTTCAATTACATCTGCCATTACATCTACCACGAGCAAGTCATTCACGAGGTCGGATTAGATCCGGAAACACCTGCTCTTCTCCCTCTCCGCTGCATCGCGCATCAATTTCACTCGGCCACCAGAAGCGCCTATTCGTCACCGTTGAAAAGCCATCTGCAATTGATTTTGCAAACAGGCACATCTGCAACCTAGCTCCGAGGAGCTTCCCTCTAAAAAAAATTACTCCCTCCGTCCAAAATTAAACTTCTCGGTTTGATCGGGCACGCATATTAAGAAAAAATGTAAATGTAGTTGACTTTCCCAAAATACCCCCATCCCTCTAACTTCTTTGGTCGCCCATCTTTCCGTCCTGCCGTCCGCCCTTTCACGTCTTTGGTCTCCCATCCTCCCTACTGTGCTCCATAGCTCTATACACTGGCCATGAAATACGCACAAGCAATTGGGCAGATCGGACGGCTGCCTTGATGCTCCACCCATACCTCCAATAGTCCCATCACTGCTCTACTGTGTGTCACCTTCGACTGCAGTCTTGCCGCTCCACCGTCACTTCCGCCAACTGCTTCAATTTCAAAAAGAAAAAGGAAGAAACCTGGGGTCTCTACCTTCTAATCCAACATGTGCCTTCAATTGCCGCTCTTTACTCCGTCATTGCTATAGGATGTCGCCATCTCCATCTTCATCTAAGATCTAGATTGGAATCATCAGATCTGTAGAGATATGATACCTCTTCATCAGATCTGTGTATAATGATGATACTGCNGAGAGAAGAAAAAAAAGAAGGAAGAGGGATGGCTCTATAGAATCGGAAGGGATAGAAGAGAAAAGAGAAAAAAAGAAAAAAAGAAAGAGGAGGAAGAGTGGAGAAAGAAGAAAGAAGAATGAAAAGGAAAAAAACAGAACCGAAAGCAAGAGGAAGGAGAAAAGAAAGAAGAAAAGAAGAAAGTAGGGGGTTGGTTGCTGGCTTGACCGGAGAAAGAAAAGAGGAGTGGGAGGGCAATAGAGTCTTTTTAACCTAAAAAAGTTTCCAAAAAAGGAAATGGGAAGTTTATTTGTGGACATCCCAAATAGGAAAGTGGGAAGTTCTTTTATGGACGGAGGGAGTACTTTGTAACATATTTGAACTTGCTAGGAATTACAATTTTGCAATTGATGTATAAGAAAAAAGGTACCCGGGTTTGAATAGATAATACATACACATGCCAAACTAAAAAAAATAAAAGTTCACGATTTTTTGACACTACTACTTTTGGATTTGTATATTTGTTCAGTTTTGACTTTTTATAATTAACTATTTTTAAATTTTGGTTTTTCATTAAATAAAATATATATTACATATTAATTAGATAAAATAATTTTTGAAAATATTTTATAAAATGAATCTTACAAAACTAGTTTTGTATCAATATTTAATATCCCTTTTATTTAATTTGTGATCAAAGTTTACTAAGTTTGACCAAAAATGTCAAAAGTAGAAAAATTATCAAAGACCAATGGAGTATGTTTTAAACACTAGATCTATTCCCGTGCAACAAACAGTCCATTAATTATATTCAAATTAAAAATGATATGAATATTACTCCCTACGTCGTAGTGTTTATGTCCAATTTCTTTCTGACACTAGAACCAAGGAGGAAGAATTTAGAGGGTAGAATTACAAAATTACCCTTAACTTTATTTCAAATTTTGAATTCGTTACAACAAACGGAATTAGCTTAATAGAAATCACTCTAAATAAGACTAAAACATAAAAAAGTACCAAAAATAGAATTTCTAGGTTTTTATTTCTCATATAAGAGTTTGCCCCGTGATAATGTGGATGTAATGTGACATGGTACACGTGCACATTACTATACTTTTTGGTAATGTACATGACCACGTTTGGTAATGTAAATACATTTTAACTTCTATTTTGAGAATAAAATCCTATTTTGATATATTTTCAATGTTTTACTCTTATTTACGTATCTATTTTTCCTGGCTCGATTTAGCCGTTCCTCCATTTTGTCCCTGTCAACTCATGTCAACTCATCCCTGGATCGGTAAGATCTAGCCGTTCCTCCATTTTTTCCGTGTTGGCTTCAGCATGACCTTCACCAAGTAATTCCTCTATACTCATCTCTAATTTTTGTGTAATCGTCAATTTTTTTAGAACTGGTACAGGTGTGGAAACCATTCAGGGATGAAGAGGGTGTCAAAACCTTAACAAAAGGGGAGAGCGAAGAGAATTTGTTTGGAGAGGAAGAAAGAGGTAAAATATTTTCTTATTCCAATTGACAAGTCCAACCCTATTTATAAAGTTCCACATTAGAAAAGTAAAATACAACCAATATAGCTATTTTTGAATCGCATCATTCCTTACCCCTTTAGAAAAGCTTTGTCCACATCAGAATACTACCTTACACGTAGGTTGCTTTTTCAAAATGCCCTAAAAACGGAAGGAATTTATCACTCTACCCTAAAATGGATTTTATTTATTAGCCTACCCTTTCTATCAAAGTGAAATTACTCTCTTATCCTTCTCCCCTAAGTCGTAATCGCTACGTTATCGTTATCAAACTGTTGCAGCAGCAGAGCATCGTTTCTACCCCAGCAAAGAAATTCGTTATTCTCGTTTCGGCAGCGCGCCATTTCTCATCGTTTTCTATTCCAATCGATTGCATACTCTGACGCCTATCATCGGTCGCCGCTGTTGTTAGCTGTTTCCCTGTTTGTTCCTAGTTGTCCCGATGTTCGCTGTTTTGTTTCTAGTTGTTCACCGTCTTTTGTTTGTTTCCACTAACCGGTGAAAGGCGCTTTCAGCGTAGGTACACAATCATCTAATAAGGCGACGTATATAGATCGTCACAGTAATAAGGCGATTACATCTTTAATTCCACTTTTGCAGGCAGATGAACACTCGCGCTCTTCTATCTTTGTTCATTCATTGTGGTGGTGATTGGGTTGAAAATGAGAAAAGCGAAATCCAGTTTAAACGAAACAAGCAAAGTAAGACACAAGTGATCGAGTAGGAAAGAAGTAATGAAGACTTCAATGCCCTTCTCATGTGTATTTATCGGGACTTTGGATTGCAACAAAGTAAGCATCAACTTCAGGTTTCATACCAATCTTCTCGGTTCGGTAGGGAATTGCCACCTGTCATAATTTCTAGTGATAAGGCGTTGGGCTATTTCCTGAGGGATAAAGATGTACATTCTACATGCTTATGTGTTGTGGTGACTGAAATCGAGGAAAGAGAGCTGGAAAATGAAACTGTCAAGCAACAACATGCAATGGATGAAAGCGAAAAGGAAGGTCAAAATGGCAAAAAACATGATTGTGTCTTCCATGATGAATATTTTGATTGCAACTTAGTATTTGATAAAGGATCAGGGCATGGACATGATGGGGTTGTACTTAATGATGAACCAAATGCGAATGTGGAGACATTCCCATTGCATAAGATCCAACTGCACTCCTAACTCTCCCCAACCTAATCTTGAGGTTGAGGGGGAGGTTCCCAAGAGTACGCAGGAGAAAGTTGATGTGGAGGTTGAAATTAAAAAAAACTACACAAGAGCATGTTGGTGTAGAGGTTGGACACTACACTCGATTTCCAGATGATTTTGATTTTCCTGTGGTGAAGTAGATGGCAAAGGTGGGTCGGATGGAACATTTGGCGACGGATTAGACCTGTGTATCGGGTAGGAGTTTGCCTGCAAGGCTGGTCTAAAGCGGAAAATGACAGAGGTAGCCATTGCTGGTTGCTTCGAAATGAAGACAGAAAAGAGTGATACAACTCGATATATTCTGCATTGCAGGAGTGCTAACTGTAGTTGGATGATGCGTGCATTTTCCGTAAAGGACTCCCCTAGATTTATAATTAAAAAGTACAACAAGTTGCACAACTGTGCCATTGGTGAACGCAAGCGCAATCATAGACAAACTACGTCGAGGTACGTTGGGGAGGTTATCTTGGCTACTCTAGGAGGTTCTCGGGAACACATTAAGCCAAAGACAATCATGACCCTTATGCAAAATAAGAGCATGCCCATAACATATGCAAAGGCTTGGCTAGGTAGGAAATTTGCAAACGAAAAGTTGTATGGGAAACCATGCGACAACTACGCGAAACTTCCTTTATATCTGCACGTGTTGAAGGAGGCAAACAATGGAAGAGTATATACCAATCTAGAGGTCGATGATGATGGTTGTTTTAAGTATGTCTTCATAGCCTTTCATGCATGTACTTCAGGTTTCAAGTTCCTCAGACAAGTAATCTCTGTTGAGGGCACGTTCTGCAAAACACTTGAAAAAGGTGTTTTACTAATTGCCTTCCATCAGTATCCTCTTGCATGGGCCATTGTAGACTCTGAAAATAACAACTCCTACTCTTATTTCTTATCCTTTGTGTTGTTATGATAAAAGTGTATCTTTTAAAATTACTATCTTAAAGAATTGAGAATGAATAGTGTTCTTAAAGATATACTCCTTTTGTGACAAAATTTACTTTTCTTACTCAATTATCCCAAACTATTTTCTTATCTTTTATCCTTTTTTGAAAAAAGTGTGTTTCAAAATTCTTCTATTATTCTAAAGAATTTTTCTCTTTACATTGTTTCTTATATTCTTAAAAAAAGTAAGAATGTTTTTGGAATTAATGAAATATATACTCTAAAGATTGATATAAGAAATTCTTCTAAAATGTATTTCAATATTTTTCATTAAAAAAATATTAATGTCATATTGTATATTTTATTCCATAATCAAGGTATTTTGACACTTATATTATGAAATTCTCATACTTACTCAACCCAAATTTTTTTCTCATTGGATTTTTGAAATATGATACTTCAGAATTATACTTAAAAATGAATCTATTGGTATTAAATTTATATCACATCACAACATGCTTTTTTCATAATTTGTGGTCAAATTTTTAAAATTTCTACCTAGAAATGTCAAATGGGAAAAAAATTCAAACGGAGGTAGCATTTCATACATTGGAAGAAATAACTTGCCGTATATTGGATACGAATCTAGTACTTAGAAATTGAAAGAAACAAAGAGACTATTGTCGAAGTGAATAAGACAAGATCTATAAATTAGTAGAAGAGACCTAATGAGTAAAACACACGGCAAGTATACCTGAATAGAATAAACAGCGAGGGGAGATTCATACTTTGGCGAGTTCGAAGAGGGTTTGTAGATCAACACTGATGAATTCAGCATCCCAGGTCTTTAGCGCATCAACATCGCAAGAATTCGCAGCACCAGCATGTTTCTTGCAGTACTCAATGACCATAGCGAGAATCCTGCTATTCACGTTCGGGATAGGGACAAAAGTGCCCGAACAGCCATCCTCGATCTTGTACTTGAGCACCTGAGACTCGAGCGCCCCCAATTCATCTATTTCAAAGTCCCTGCCGTCGGAACTCTTTAAGGAGATCTTAGACATTGTGGTGTGGGATCTGAGAACAGGGCTGCTAGGGTTAGACACGCTCCTGAAGTACCTTAATGGCGGTCGCTTTTAAATAGGGATGATAAGGATACAACTTGTACATCATTTGTCCCCCACTCCTTTCTCACTATTCATTTTTATTTTATTTTTATTTATTTAACTTTTTTTGTCCCTTGCTCATTTTTGTGGTAATGGAGAGGGTGGGGGACAAATGGGGTATGCCATCCTAGCATTTTCTATTTTACTCCCTCCGTCCCACAGTATTTTTCCACTTTTATTTTTACACATCATCCAATACACTTCTTTAATCCATTTTATCTTGTAATTTGTATATTAAAAAATTATAGAAATTATATATTTATAATCTATATGTTAAGACAAATCAAACAAGAGAATTTGATGAGTCAAAGTGCTTAGATAAACAGTTCCAAAAGTCAAAAGTGGACGAATATAGCGGGACGGAGGTAGTAAATGTTATTGATTCTCTTTTTTTAAAGTACATAGTCGCACCAAACTATTATAAATTTCTATAATTTTTTAAAGTTTTGTTCTTTTATATTCTTACAATTTAGATTTGTTTGATTGAAAGAAAAGTACTTTTTTAGAATATTTCTATTCTATTTTTTAATGTTAGTTCGTATAAGTGATAGAAAATCATTTTTTACAAAAAATATTTTTTTCAAAGAAGAGAAAATGATTTTCGTTTACTTTGAATAAAAGTTTATTTTCCTACTCAATCCTCGAATAATTAGATTGCTTGAGTTAATTTCCCCCACCCACCAGTCCTCTCTTGTTTCCCTTGCCTTCACCCCTTCCCCCTGCCTTGCCCCCACCCCCGGCTGCTCCTGTTAATTCCATATTGTGTTTAGTTGTTATTGGTATTATTTTATTAATAAACAAATAGATTTGTTTAGAATTTCTTGTAGCTGTTTTAGAATTGAGTTGAAGCATCGTATTCGTCACCAGGTGAAGACCTATAGCATCCAGAATCTTATTCCTACTTCATTACTTTTGGATTGTAAATCCTTAACCTAGTAAGCTTGGTTTTAAGATTTGACTATGTATGCCACAAGTCTCACATAAATGAGAATTATAAGAGAAGATACACAGAACAGAGAGGCACGAGAGGGGGAGCCTATCAACAGAGAGGAGAATATTTGGTTGCCTTTATTTTTGAAGAGAGAGGAAAAAGAAGTAAACACGACCCAGACAAGCTCCATCTCACCTCTGACATAGACAAGCTCCGTCTCACCTCCAATTCAAACGAGTTTCATCTCAAGGTTCAGTATTCCATGGTAAAAACTCCATTGACACCATCAGCGATCGGCTAGGGACAAATTAGCAGCAATGCCTTCTCCTTCGAAGACCCACGGCGGTCTAGTTCCAGCGTCCCACTAATCCCGACATATCACAGTCCCTATCCACGAAGCATACTAAAGCATCAAATTTTAGATCTATTGTTTGGGAATCAAGTTTGTGAAGTTGATTCTACAAGCTAAGGTCCATATTAGAGAAGCTGATTCTAGGACTAGAGTTGCAAACATGTCCTTTAAGATATCTTGGTGAATGCATATAGCCGAAAAGCAATTCAAACAACTTTTGAGATAGAAGTCTTAGTTTTGAGGGTTTGTCATGATAATTTAGAGAAGAGTGTCTCAACACGTTGTTATCGACCAGTGTAATCTACTTCTAATATTTAGTGAAAGGTTTTTACATGAGCGTGGGCCCCGTAGACCTGGGAGATTCTACTACAAACTACGTAAACAATTCTGGTGAGGCGTTTACTGTTTTTACGTTATTTTTTCTGCAAGAGTGCATTTGAAGGAAAAGGTGGTATATCACTCTATTTGTCAACCATATCTGTGATTAGAGCTATAACATCTTCCCTGCAGCCTATCTGATTGATTTATTTGCTTACAAAGCTTATTATAATTGGTGAATCTCACTGCACTCTAAGTTATTTCGATCGGTATTAGAGAGGTTAAGCTTAGTTTACTAGTTTGATCCGATTTATAATCATGAGAGATCTACAAGAAGGTTCCAATGTATTCACACCTCCTCTACTATGTGACCATGGTTATTCTTTTTGGAAGTGTCGCATGTGAGGAATTACTTGGTGAAGGTCATGCTGAAGCCAACACGGAAAAATGGAGGAACGGCTAGATCTTACCGAGCCAGGGATGAGTTGAAAGGGACAAAATGGAGGAACGGCTAAATCGAGTCAGGAAAAATAGATACGTAAATAAGAGTAAAACATTGGAAATATATCAAAATAGGATTTTATTCTCAAAATAGAAGTTAAAATGTATTTACATGATCAAACGTGGTCATGTACATTACCAAAAAGTATAGTAATGTGCACGTGTACCATGTCACATTACCTCCACATTATCATGGTGCGAACTCTTATTTGAGAAATAAAAACCTAGAAATTCTATTTTTGGTACTTTTTTATGTTTTAGTCTTATTTAGGGTGATTTCTATTAGGCTAATTCCGTTTGTTGTAACGAATTCAAAATTTGAAATAAAGTTAAGGGTAATTTTGTAATTCTACCCTCTAAAATCTTCCTCCTTGGTTCTTGTGTCAGAAAGAAATTGGACATAAACACTAGGACGTAGGGAGTAATATTCATATCATTTTTAATTTGAATATAATTAATGGACTGTTTGTTGCACGGGAATAGATCTAGTGTTTAAAACATACTCCATTGGTCTTTGATAATTTGTCTACTTTTGACATTTTTGGTCAAAATTAGTAAACTTTGATCACAAATTAAATAGAAGGGATATTAAATATTGATACAAAACTAGTTTTATTAGATTCATTTTATAAAATATTTTCAAAAATTATTTTATCTAATTAATATGTAATATATATTTTATTTAATGAAAAGCCAAAATTTAAAAATAGTTCATTATAAAAAGTCAAAACTGAACAAATATATAGATCCGAAAGTAGTAGTGTCAAAAAACTGTGAACTTTTATTTTTTATAGTTTGGCATGTGTATGTATTATATATTCAAACCCGGGTACCTTTTTTCTTACACATCAATTGCAAAATTGTAACTCCTAGCAAGTTCAAATATGTTAAATAGGGGTGAGCATCGGGTCGGTTCGGTCGGTTTCGGGTCAAAACCGAACTAACCGAAATTTTTTTAAATACAAAAAAACCGACCGAAACCGAACCGGTGTATTTGGATAACCAAGAAAACCGAAACCGATTAAACAGAATGGTTTCGGTCGGTTGTTAAAAACCGAATTCCATAACACCCCTACAAAAAATACAAAAATACTCCGTAGTTAAACATGTTCCAGAACCATCACGAGAAGCACTAGGACTTCTAATATCAGCGGAAACAGCAGAATTCCATTGTTGTTCTAAAACAATGAATTAAATTGTTTTCTCAACAACTAAATGAGCAATTCCCCAAGTAAAATTGTAAATTTTCCTAAATTTGATATGAACACGCGAAGAATAGCTACCGGTGCCGCTGTAATTTCCAGATCACAGATCCGCCGCTCAACTTCGAGGCCGAGGGGCAACGCCAGGAGCAGGGGTCGGCGTTCAAGGAGTGGAACCCAGTGACGGGGGTCTCTTGCTCGTCGAGAAAGAGATCTTCTGGTTCCTGAAATGCAGCGTGCAGTGGATGCAGACGATGGCGAGTGGCGACCCCCACCATCATGACAGATCTTCTGCTTCCTGAGAGCCAAGGGTTTCTTTGTGGCCACACATTAGCCACGCATAGACATCATGATCACACATTCCCATTTTTGGATAATGAGGTGGGCTTACTTTCTATTGGGTTTTAAAAAAATTCATATTAATAACTAGTAAACTTAACACCTATATCGGTTATTCGGTTAACCGAATAAACCGTTAACCAAAACCGACACAAAACCGAAGTACCCGAAATAACCAAACTTTTTTAACATGGAAAACCGAAACCGAAACCGATTAAGCGGTTACTTCGGTTTTCGGTTTCACGGTCGGTCCGGTTAATTTGCTCACCCCTAATGTTAAAGAGTAATTTTTTAGAGGGAAGCTCCTCGGAGCTAGGTTGCAGATGTGCCTGTTTGCAAAATCAATTGCAGATGGCTTTTCAACGGTGACGAACAAGCGCTTCTAGTGGCCGGATGAAATTGACGCGCGATGCAACGAAGAGGGAGAAGAGCAGGTGTTTCCGGATCTAATCCGACCTCGTGAATGACTTGCTGGTAGCAGATGTAACGTCAGATGTAATTGACGTTAGCAGTGGCAGGATGCAGCGGAGAGGGAGAAGAACAATAGAATGTAGAGAGAAAGCAAGGAAGCCATTAGCATGAGTATTACCAGGTGTACTATATGGTATCTAGTGTCAAACTCATTGGACTCGCTCTTAAAAATAATAAAATTGAAAAATAGGAAGTATTCAATAACATTGAAAATTAGGAAGTATTCATATTATGGAAAAAGATAGGTTGATAACAAAGATTCAGCTTCTTCTGAAGGGTGTTTGGAAAGCAACATGTTCAGAAATAGCATGCTAGTCATTTATTTCCAAACCAAATAAAGATTAGTTTTAAGGCATCTACTAGATGATATTCAACTGATATAGCATCATTCTACCATTAAGAGATATAAGGGGCTTCAAATCATTATCCTGGAAATGCCCATAAATTCTCAATCCTTGTATGATCTTCTTCCACCCATGGGATGTATGTTGAATGTTCTGCTCATCTCATTGGGTGACTTGCCCTTGATCGTCTTAGCTAAAGTTAGAGTAATGAGATCGAACAAGCTCCTTATGTCAAGATATAGGGCAGCCTACAATTAAAAGGTGAGATCATAAATACATCAAAACTAACAAAACAGCCCATGAGACCTCACACTACAATTGTCAAACATTGTTGACAATAGAGTCGGAGTCTACATAATCAAACCTCAAACACACATTATTATTACTCTTTACAAAGCGATATGGAAACAACTTCCCGCCGAAATTGCTGCACCTTAATGTGGTGGGTGCATCGCATGAAAATACTCGCCCTCAATAATGCTAGACACAGACACAGAGCCGATGCTGGCATTCAGTACACTCTTGGCCCTACATAGCTGGCATTCACTACACTCTACACTCTCCCTGCCATTTGAACCTGCTATTCTTCATAGAGACCTGCGACGAAGATAAACCGTAGACCTCGACACCGCGGCACATCTACTACCGGAGGTGCATTTCATTAATTTTTTTCTTTGATCTCAAACCCTAATGTTTTAAGGACACTATTGCTGCTATTGCAATCTTAGAACAAATGAGGCCCTGTTTAGCTGTGAGTCATTCTGAATCATATGCAAGCTTTTGAGCGAACATAGAAGGAAAAAAAACTGTCGAGCAAAGTTCTCTCATTCCTTACAACTCTAGAACTTTTCTTTTCTCTATTTCTTTAAGTTATAAATGTTTCTCCTCAGCAAAGATTCAATTTTTAGGTTTCTTGGTTGGATGGATGATTATCGCACTTAAGCCCTTGGCTCAGTAAGTGATCTTTTGAAAAGGATAAATTTTGATACGACTAATTTGGATACTCGAGTAGAGATGTATCAACTTAACATTTTTGTGAGAATCTGTTTATGCTCTGTAATTTACTATGCTATTTTGAAAATTCAGTTTTTTCCAAGTTTCTTTAATTGTGTTTTTTTTGTTTACTTTTTCTTACACAATTTCCCAAATAAAAGTCTACAATAAGTCTTTTGCTCATCTATGTTGATGACTGGAATCTTTCTTTGGTTTGATTTGTGTCCTAAATCTCACGGTTGGAATCTCTAATTATTTGCATTTGAAATAAATTAGTTTGACAATTAAGAGTTGTGATTGATAAAAACACTACTCATTTGAAGACTGAATTTTTCATAAAGTGTAGTAATAAGGTTAAAGAATCTTGATAGAATATTTAGCTTTTTTATATTAGCTCTTATTTTGGTTTTATGGGAGTAAAATTTGCATTAAATAGGACTAAAAAATAATGATTTTCCCATTGTAGGACTTATAATGACCTAGTGGGAAGAATAATGTCCAGTAATGATGGATATTTACTTGAATAATGACTACTTGTTAATGACCAAAAGTCCTATATTGGGAAATAAAAACATATAGTCCTATATTGGGAAAGTCATTATGTTTTAGTCCTATTTAGGTAAATTTCTCTTTATGGGATCTGTTAAAAATTTATGCATTATGGCTTTTAAAACACACATATGATGGTTATGAAGAGGATATATATAGATTCATTGTTGATCAGAGGTTCGTCATCGCTGACTAGCCTTCTCAGTTTCAAGCTGTTGAGCCGCTGCAGAGAGTCCAGACACTACCTTTCTGCCACATATTTGGGGTATGAGGTATGTCCAAATGCCCAATTTTTCTCTGTTCTATTTCTTGAATTCCAATTTACTATTTTATGAAATTGTGAGTATTGTCTCTTTCTAGATTAATTGGATAATATGGGGCGTAAACGATACGGTAATTTCATATGGAGCGTTATGATAATTACAATATATGGGTAAGTTCACCTACAACATTTATATTGTTTAGGTCTTCCACTGGATCCACTGAGTGAAAGATTTGATTTGGGGGTTATCTTCAACCTTAACCCCCTTTGTAGCCTCAAGGTAGTCAGGTTCCCAATCTTCATCTCAATCAAAGAAAAAATAGAGGCAAGAAAATTACAAGCATTTTGATAGTGATGGTGTCCCTTCCCCGCTTTCAACAGGATATCAAGTATTTTAGTTTCAACTGTGAGAAAATAGATGAACTCTCGGTAATTTCTAGAATCTAATTTGAATTTTTTTACAAAACCTTTTTCCTGGGGCAAAGAATCTGTCGCCATAATAATATAAAGAAGAGGATGATGCTGAATTCGTGGTGCTATATTTCTTAGATGATGATGAGTATCTTTCTGGTTTTAATTTTTTACCTTTAATATCTTGATTACATAGTTCAAATTTTTATAATGATGATTCCATTTATATATCTCCAATTTTCCCTATATGTCTAACTCCATTTGGTAAACTTTAGAAACTCTTCATTTCCTACACATATTTGACCATCTTACCTATATTCCTCCACAATTTTGGTTAAATTATGTTTCTTCCTACACATATTTGACCATAAGAACTTATTAAAATCAGATCAGATCCGAAAATATAAGTTGAACGAAACGGAGTCTCAAACTAATGAAAACTTATCTGTAGGGTCAACCACGATATGGAGGAGCTCACTTTTCATGATTACACTGTGATCATGTATCCTACGCTCAGTTTTATAAAACAAAAAAAAAGAAAAAATCAATATAAAGATCCCATCCCTTTAATTTATGATACCTTTGTTGTGGTATGTGCACTGCCCACTTCACTTTTACATTTTATTTGCAATCTAATTCAATATGCTTTAGAAGTTCATCTTCTAATGGTTTTCTGTGCACTAAAACCTTTTGGTTTTAAATTGTACAAAGTACTTCAAAATAAAAAAATACAAACAATAATTATATATCACGCCAAGTTAGGAAAATTCAGTATTTGTACACCATGTTTATCCCAATATTTGACTTCACACTCTATGCCAGTTTTTGAAAGTTTCATGAGAGAGCATCCAAGACATTGTTTGTAAGGCGGCAAGGCAGGGCGTGGCGCCAATGTACCTTCATATATATATATATACATATATATATATATATATATATATATATATATATATATATATATATATATATATAGTTTGGTTCTGGTGAGAATGAAATCTAATGAAAGAAATAAGAATGAATCTAGGCCGTTAGATCTGATCCTCCATGCGCTGACTTGTGCGACCTACTCATTGGCTTTTTGGGATTTACACAATTCAGTCGTATCTCAATCTTTTCTCTCTCCGATTTATTTCCGAAAAATCCTCTGCCATTTACGAATACGAAGTAGTTTTTAGAAGAAAGCGAAAATTTATAAATCATACATTTTTTTCTTTCAAATTGAAAATAAAATATATCCTTTGCATCCTTAAAAATGCATTAAAATAAAGTAAAAAAGAAATAAATTATTTTTAAGAGTTTAATTGTAAAAAAATATTTATTATTGATTTTTATAGAAAAAAGTGGTTCATAAATTTAAAAAAATAAGAAACCATTCATATCATCACTACCCATGAATCATGATGCGCACGTTTAAAAAAGGAGAAATACCCCATAATTAATATGACAACCATAAAGGCTAAAAAAGTGGAAGTAATTAATGTGCGCTCAAAAGTTTTATTTTAAGCAAATGGCGTAAATGGTGAGGCAATATTCATCCCTAAAGATTTTACGTGTATTAAGGCATTTTTTGTTCCAGATTTACCCCCACGAGATAATATCTCCAATTTTAGATTTACTCTAGTTATTACTTTCCTAATTATGGCAAAACTTTGAGAATGCATCTTAGCCCCTAATTACATTCGATCCAACGTCTTCTATTCATTCTTATTTCTTTCACCAAGATCTCATCCTCTGCGCACAATCCACACTATTTGCGCCTTCTATTTCTTCATCCGTCTACCACCATGGCAATCATCTTGTAGTGTTCAAAGGAGAATAGATCCCATAGATTCTACAATGATATCTGGTATGTTATCTTGTTATTTTTTGAATCAAGAATTTCGTTCATCCATATATTCTTGGAAGGAGGGGGGTTCGACTAAATCTTGAGCATCTGATATTTTTTATTGGCATTCAATTGAAATATGAATTTAGAATTTTGTTTATGTTTGGATTCTTACTTTTCTCCCCTGATTCATTGTCTAAATTAAAAGGTTGTCTGAAGGCCGATTACTTTTTTATACAAATTTGATTGTACCGATCTTGCTAAGGTACCATTGCTAAGGTTCTTCGTGCTTCGGATGGTGCTGAATTGGCCACAAGTCACACCAACAAAGATTGCAAGCTATATGTTCGACAAAATGTCCCAATGATGTCTTTTGAGCAAACTTTTTCTAAATTTTTGATTTTTAATGATTTGATTTTGTTTATCTACTTTAATGATTAAGTCTTGGGGTGCGATATTGCATTTTTCCTATTTTTTGGATATAGGGTTGGACTCACTAATTTTGGAATTTTAATCTCTAACTCCGTTTTCTCTTCAAAAAATGTATATTTAACAAAAGCTTCTGGTGTGGGTTTATTTTTGCAGAATTGGTTTAAAAACCATGTGAAACATCACACTATTCAAATGATTAGAGAATAATGGCACACATGTAAGCAATTTGCAGTCTTATGCATCACTCATGTTTGCACTTTATGGTGCATTCAACACTTATTAGGCTGCACCTTTTTACATCTGAACTTCAATAGTAACTTGTTATTGTTAAATCTGTACTTTCTATCATTTTTTTAATGAGGAGAAAGTTATGAATGTTCTTTGTATTTGGTAATTTCTATCGCATATAATCAGTTAATGTATAACTAAAAGGGAAACACATGTTAATGGGGCCTGTTGTTTAATCAAAGCAACTTTAAATTGGTGTTTTTTCTATTATATTGTATATTTAATATACTGTGTTATTTTTTTTATTAGATCTACTCTTTCAAAATGTTAATGTGAATCACTTGTGCTTTTGGAGAGATTCTAGATATGCAATTTGTATTTCGTCTCGATGTGATATGATGAGTGATATCTATGGCGTGTTCTCAAATTCAAATATTTTTCTTTTATACATATCATTATGTATCATCAACACTGCACTCTTAACCTTTTGTGATGCATTTATGTAGTAGTTTGTGTTAATTTTGCTTTCTTGCTAGCCTATGTAAATGCAACTCGTCTTGACAGTGATTTTTATAAATATATACTTATCTTTGTTTTGATTATTAATATTAGGATATTCACATATTGCATTCTATTAAGTTGATGGAGCTTATTATGGTTCATATGCTACATTTTAATTGATTACAACAAATACTGCTAAATTCATGTTTTAAGGACATAAAAGATCAGTAACATTTCATGTTTAATTTGAACATATTAAGACTGTGATATAAATATTCACATGCTCTCAACCATATATGAAATTGTTGGATTGCCCCTTCTCTGTTGTGGTGCTGCATTTCTTGGAAGTGTACATTTCTGCTTTTATTTTCTCTTCTTTTTAACTTTTTGTGTTACTTTTTGTTATTTAGCTAGAAATGTTGTGGGAAAATTTTTATTTGTTTATTTTCTTTCATCTTTTTACTTTTGTGTTTGTTTGTGTGTGAAATGGTGCATTGTCACAGTTGCGATAATGCATTTACATGAAAAGGTAATGCATTCTCATAATTAAGATTAAGGATAATGCATTATGTTATTGTACATTTTCATAATCAAGGTAAAAGATACCACATTCTGTTACTGTGTATTTCCATAATCAAAGTTGATGCATTTGATGGTGAAATTATTCTTACATAAATATGATGCAGTTGTATAGTTTAGATAGTGAATTTTCTGTAAATGACGATGCTTTAAGATGTTTTATCTTACATTTTAATATGAGTTAGAAACTTGTTGAATAATGTAAATTTTAAAATATTAAAATGCATAGTTAATGTGTCCATGTGCAAGATGATAATCTCTTTGAAAAAAATGATTGCCTATTAGCTCAAACGGTAGAGCGATATGTATTATGGATGTGGGTTCGAATCCCACATAGGCAAACTATTTTCAAATCTGTATTAAACTTGTTCTCAATACAATGCATTCCCAGGCTTTCCCATCACATACAAAGTCACTCATGAATAGTTATTCACCGATCCATAAATTAATATAAATTTTTTTTAATAAAATTCAAAGGACAAATCAAAGTGGACATATCAGCCATCACAGTGCATGCATAATTTATAATACAAATTGCAGCTATAGAAAGAACTATTATGTGAGGAAAAAAATTATTTATTAAAAAAAATTAAATAAGTGATGAGAAGTAAAAAAGGGTAATTGAATACAGAGTAGTTTTTAGAAGAAAGAGAAAATTTATAAATCATACATTTTTTTCTTTCAAATTGAAAATAAAATATATCCTTTGCATCCTTAAAAATGTATTAAAATAAAGTAAAAAAGAAATAAATCATTTTAAAGAGTTTAATTGTAAAAAATATTTATTATTGATTTTTACAGAAAGAAGTGGTTCATAAATTAAAAAAAATAAGAAACCATTAATATGACTACCCATGAATCATGATGCGTACGTTTAAAAAAGAAGAAGAAATACCCCATAATTAATATGACAACCATAAAGGCTAAAAAAGTGGAAGTAATTAATGTGCACTCAAGAGTTTTATTTCAAGCAATCCCTAAAGATTTTACGTGTATTAATGCATTTTTTTTGTTCCAGAATTACCCCCACGAGATAATATCTCCAATTTTAGATTTATTCTAGTTATTACTTTCCTAATTATGGAAAAACTTTGAGAATGCATCTTAGCCCCTAATTACATTCGATCCAACGTCTTCTATTCATTCTCATTTCTTTCGAGTGTTAACACCCGGACTTACCGTCATGCATCACATAATATTTTAATTTGTTAAAAACATCATTTTTATTGTGAAAAATCATTTTTATAATAATCATAATCAATTGGTATCAAAAATAGGATTTTAGAGCTCAAAAATAGCAATTTCAGACAAATTTTCGGATCAGAGTTTCGAAGGATCGACCCAGCCCTCTGGATCGATCCATAATACGAAAAATGTTCCCAGAGGATCGATCCAAGCCTTAGGATCGGTCCAGGCAGTGTTTTTCAGCTTACTGTTCATCTTCTTCAACCTTCAGCCTATTTTTCGGAAATCCCGTTTTTAGCCATCGAACTTCAATTAAACTATATAGAGATGTTCTCCAAGGTTCATAGATCATTTTAGAGTTATTAAAACATATTTTTAACATCAAATTCAAGGTTTATGATTCTTGGTTCTTCAAACATGTCAAATACAAAACTCAACCAAATGACCATTTATGAACGTAAAAACAACCTACATGAACATTCTAGTCTTTAGATATATCCACGGGCTTACCTCGAAGCGTAAGGGAGGTTTTGAAGATTTTCCAGCGAAATTTCCGGCGACTCTATCTCACTGCTCCGGCGACTTCTCACAGAGCTGACAACACCAGTATATTCTCCTCTCTTAGAACAAGAGAATAGGATGAAGAATTATAGATTTTGGTGGAGAAATGGGAGAATTGGCTCTCTTTAAATAGGCCAGTGAAGAAGAAGAAGACACACATTTGCAGCTTCCGTGATTGAACGGTGATTCGTATTTTGGAATCGGCGTAATTGAACAGGGCGCCGTTTGGTATGTAGTCCCTGATTGGGACTAATTTTTGGTCCCAGTTGGGGTACACTTTTTGGTCCAACTTTCTCCGAATTGAAATCCGATTGAACCGTTGGGGTCAGACAGTCAAACTCTACACAACGATATAATTTTTATCAATTATTGACAAACTTTAGAATTTACTTATTTTTGGGTCCTTCTCAGTAATTAATTAATTATTAATTAATTAATTCTGATAGGCCTATTTTTGGGGCGTTACATTTCTCTCCCCCTTAAAATAATTTCGTCCTCGAAATTACCTGAGTCATTGGTTGAAGAGATTCGGATATTGCATTCTCATTGACTCTTCGGTTTCCCATGTGGCCTCTTCAGTCGAGTGATTCCTCCATAGCACTTTGACTAAGTGTACATATTTGTTTCTCAATTGTTTGACCTCTCGTGCTAAAATTTGTACAGGTTCCTCCTCATAAGTCAATTGTTCGTCAAGAGTTACAATTCCCTCAGTCAAGATATGAGATGGATCGGAACGATATCTTTTCAACATCGATGCATGGAATACGTCATGGATCTTGTTCAAATCCTGTGGGAGTTCTAACCGATATGCTACTGGACCCACACGTTCAGTGATTCGATAGGGTCCAATATATCTCGGACTTAGTTTTCCCTTCCTACCGAATCGTAACACTTTCTTCCACGGTGAGACTTTCAGAAACATCTTGTCATCAACATTGTATTCGATTTCACGACGTTTCAAGTCAGCATATGATTTTTGACGATCAGAAACCACTTGCAGTCTTTCTCTAATTAGACGTGTTGGGAAAAATTATAGATTTTGATGATGATGTATTTAGAATGTAATAGGGACTTTAGGTCTCCACCAATATTCAATGTAACTTTTCTTTTTAGCAATATTGTTAAAACCGAGTTCTTGAGACTTCCAATTAAGCTATGATATTTCTTCAAGTGGTCTGATGCTTGAAGACTTAATCAAATTCAGTGATAAGGAAATTGGATATCTTGATCGAAAATGTCAGAGACAAGTAAGGATTTCTCAAAGCAGATATAAATCCTAAAATCCGGAAGACTACATGTCAACCGGATGTCTCGCTACAACCCGATGAAGGCTAAGTCACCCAAGTCGGAAGACTAGCGCGGATCTCCTTCTCACCCGGAAGACTGAGAACGACTCTCCCGGATTTGTCAGCTAAGAACCGGATGCCTCAAGGAAGACCGGAATTTTCAAAAAGCGGACAAGTGAGAAAAGACTTAGAAAAATTATCTAAGTCTTGAATGAAGAAATTCTACCCGTTGGTAAGGAAAAATCAATCTCTTGATTTTCAACGGCTAGATTGAAGATAATTATGCTGATTCAAGAAATAATGACTCGAAGACAAAGTCTGGACCTCTAAAAATTGAAGAGCCTGTCCAGAATTCCTAAACAAGCACTAGAAGACAAACAGAGTAAAGTGCTACAGTTCTGAATTCTTGAACAACAGCTAGAAGACGGATTCTGTGGAAAAGGGAATCCCTCCTCAAACAATTGGGTATGTCCAAACACTCATTCCAATGAGGAATCTTCAAATCACAATCTTCATTCAAAATTGAAGCCAGCAAATGCAACGGATAGTCTATTGTAATTCAACGGATAGATTATCCAATCCAGCTATAAATAGCATCCTTGGAAGACTGGAGAAGATACGAAGAGATATAACAACACAACGAAGCAATCTCTAACTAAAAAGCTATCTCATTCACAGTTAGCCCAAAAAGCTTGATAAAGAGAGATTTCTAAACTCCTTATCCAGAAGCAAACTTCTCCTCCTTCCAAAGAGCTATACTGTAAACACTTGAAGGTTTCCTTGCCTCAAGTACCACACCACGTTGAAGGATACAACTTTTGATCAAACTTCTTGATTGAAAGGAGGTAGGTCAACTTTCTTACAAGTTGGTCTTGCAAGTAGGGGTGTGCAACAACCGGTCTGGATCGGAAATTAGACCTGAACCGGACCGGAATGGACCGGTCCGGACCGGTCCGGTTTCCGGTCTTAATAAATTAGGGATTCCGGGTTCCGGTCCGGTCCGGTCCGGTCTAAAACCCGGATGTAACCGGTCTGGACCAGAATGTTTCAATATATTATTATCTTTAATTTTTTATACCTATCTTCCTCGCCGCTGCTCTCTTAGGATTTTTTAATATAACAAATCCGGTCCAGATTAGGGTAAAACCGGACCGGACTGGAATATTCAGGTCCGGACCGGTCCGGACCTGTAACCAACAGGTCCGGTCTTCGGTCCTAAGAAAATCCTGATTCCGGTTCCGGTCCTAACCGGTTCCGGTCCGGTTTTGGACCGGTGCACACCCCTACTTGCAAGTCCTATTGTTAATTCGGAACTTGCAGTTGTTGAAGAAGCGTGACCTTCGAAGGAACAACAAAGCCAGCACAAGTGCAGTAGCAACATTGGCCTTGCGAAGATATACCGTGCAGAAATTCACACAAGTGTAATTGTTGGTTCATTATTCAACAACCAACTACATAGTGGATTTTGAGGACGTAGAAGGATTACCCCACCTTCGAACCTCGTTAAAGTTTGCGTGTCTCTCTCTTTTATCTTTACTCTTACTTGCAATTATATTAACTGTGAAAACTAACNAGTGCAGTAGCAACATTGGCCTTGCGAAGATATACCGTGCAGAAATTCACACAAGTGTAATTGTTGGTTCATTATTCAACAACCAACTACATAGTGGATTTTGAGGACGTAGAAGGATTACCCCACCTTCGAACCTCGTTAAAGTTTGCGTGTCTCTCTCTTTTATCTTTACTCTTACTTGCAATTATATTAACTGTGAAAACTAACTCATCCATATTGATTACTGCTCACTCTACCCACCAAATTCCGCACACAATCTGAAGTTCACAAGGACTCTAGATTAACACTCATTTTCACGTTTTCAAAAGAAATGAAAAAGTTTTAAATTTGTAACAAAGTCTATTCACCCCCCCCTCTAGACTTTGTATCTCACCACTTTGGGACCACCAATTGGTATCAAAGCGAACTTCTCACTATCTACGTTTAGATTAACGAGAAGCGATCATAATGGTGAACAATATGGATCACGGTTTGCCCAAGTTTTCTCTTCTAGGTTATGATGATTGGAAGATCATGATGGAAGAACACCTCTATGCTCTACATGATTTCATGTGGATGGTGCTTGAGGATGGACCCTTGAAAATCCAAATGGAGAATCCTGAGAGGAATCCAGCCGCTCTAGATGTAGTCCAGTACATTCCAAAGCCCAAAGAAAAATGGGATGATAGAGATTTCAAAAAGCACAATCTGGACAACGTTGGCAAAGCAGCCATCTTCAAGACTCTTGATCCCATCACCTTCTCCAAAATTAAGCATCTCAAGACTGCCATGGAGATTTGGCAAGGTCTTGGGAAGCTATGTGAGGGATCAGAGGACCTGAGAAAGCAGAAGATAGAAGTCCTGCTTGAGAAGTTCAAAAGCTTCAAAATGCTTCCCGGAGAATCATTTGATATGTTGGACGAAAGATTCCACAAAATCTTAAATGATCTTGCATCACTTAACCACGTTCTTTCTCCCAAAGAAAAGAATGTAAGGTTGCTGAGATCACTTCCAACTGAGTGGTACACCAAAGCCACAACCATGGAAGAAGGAAGAAACCTGGAGAACTACATTGTCCAAGGTCTCCTTGACGAGCTCAAAACCTATGAGCACGAGCTGAAGAAGAAGAAGGAAGAACAAGTCACTCCCTTCCCCAAAACATTGATGACAACTCCAAGAGTCCCGTCAAGTGAAGGAACATGCCCAAGGAACTGTGACACACCCTCCTCCAGCCAGCCGTCAAGCTCAAAAATGGAGAACTGCGATGAGGAATTTGCCATGATGGTCAAACAATTCCGGAAGATCAAGAAGTTCTTCAAGAAGGCTGATTCAGTCAGAAGGCCAACCAAGGGAAAGCCACAAGTAAGTGACTCTCCTCCTGAATCTTATTTGTGTTATAACTGCAGGAAGCCTGGCCACTGGAAGTCAGCATGCCCGTACCCAAAGGTGGAGAAATACGGAGAAAGAGAAAGAAACGAGAAGAAAAAGAAAGCAATGGTTGCTGCTGAAAGTGATGAGTCATCCAGCTCAAGCTCGGATGAAGAAGCCCTCATTTGCATGGAGCGCAGAGCTGAGAAGTCCAACCATGAGGACAGGTGGACTATGTCAGAAGATGACACTCTCTGCCTAATGGCCAAAGATGATGCTGATCAAGAGGTAACCTCACAAACCTCATCCTCATCTTCTTATGAAAGCATACCAACTTCTGAAAATCTTTTTGACCAGTTCAAAAAGATGATGGAAGATTTTGAGGAGATAAATCTCAAACACTCATCCTTAACAGAAGAGAACAAGTTGTTAAGTGAAGAGAATCTCAAGTTGACTGAAGGTCGGAAAAGTCAACTGAATGAGATCACTCAACTTAAAGCTGAAAATGAATCTCTCTCTGAAAAGGTGAAATCCCTTAATAAAGAGCTAGGGATACTTAAGTCCAAAGAAGCAGTGGACAAGCTTCTTGAAACGACCAAACATAAGGGTCGTGAAGGACTTGGGTTTGACCCCTCCAGTTCCAAAAGAAAAGGGAGAACAACTTTCATCCCTCCTAAACCTATTTCTAAACAAAATAAGTAGAAAGGAAAGGAAAAGGAGAAACCAACAGAAGTTCCTAAAAAGGTAGTCCCTCCTAAGAACTATAGGAAGCTGGACAGACCTCAAAAAGGAAATAATTTCAGAAGAAAATCTTCTAATTCCACTATACACGAGGCTATACTCATTATGGGGTAGATAGGAGTTTTCCAAGAAATTCTGAGTGGAGAACGATGCCAAGATATAGTCATCCTCCACCCCAGAAATTATTTGTGCCACCTAAGTACGCTTATAACCGACACAGACCACACTATGCACAACCTAGACAAAACTATAGGTCTTACCAACCTAGGTTTACTAGGAGGAAACAAGAAATTGTACCTCCTGCACGTAGGAAGTTTTATGCCTATAACTATGATTACAATCCCAACAAGTTTAGAGCTGCAAGGAAAATTCCCTGCAACTTCAAACTTGATGTAGGGACACACACCATTAACTATTCCGGACCCAAACTGAATTGGGTACCAAAATCTTCCTCCTCCTAATGCAGGAAGCCGCTAAGTACCCAGGTGTCTGGTACTTAGACAATGACTGTTCAAGACACATGACGGGTGATGCGAGCCTCTTGAGCAATCTAATTCCCTATGATGGTCCAAGAGTTACTTTTGGAGGAAGCAATGACTTTGGCCTTACTAAAGGGCTAGGAAATCTGGTGTACAAGGGACTAACCATCCAAGCTGTATCTTATGTTGAAGGTCTCAATTATAACGTTCTCAGCATAAGTCAGTTTTGTGATAAAGGTTACTCTTTGGAATTCTGCAAGGACATGGCATCCCTCAAGAACATCTCCACAAATGAAGTCATTCTCACTAGAAAGAGAATCAGGAACATCTATGAAGTGATGTGGAACGATGTCAAGGAAGCATGCCTAATCAGCAAAGGTGATACTAACCTTCAGAACCAAGCAAGTCAGACCATTCAGAAGATCAGATCTGACAAAGGCACAGAATTTCTGAATGAAATCGTCATTCACTACTGTGAAGAAAACAGAATTCTTCATCAGACATCCGCAGCAAGGACGCCTCAACAGAATGGTGTAGCTGAAAGAAGGAATAGAACCTTGAAGGAAGCAGTAAGAACAATGCTAGCAGAAGCTTCCTTACCAAAAAGGTTCTGGGCTGAAGCTGTAAACACAGCTTGCTATACTCAAAATAGGAGTATGATTTATAAAAGACACAACAAAACTCCCTATGAACTGTGGAACGGGAGAAAGCCTAATATATCATATTTCCATATTTTTGGGAGCAAGTGCTTTGTGTTAAACAATGGGAAGAATCATCTGAACACTTTTGATGAGAAATCAGATGAGGCCATCTTCCTTGGATACTCTATGGTGAGCAAAGCATTCAGAGTCTTCAACAAGAGAACCATGATCACTGAAGAGTCAATACATGTTATTTTTGATGAAAAACATGTGGTTGACAAGCCATCAAAGCATGATCATGAGGTTCTGGATCTCTCAGACAAGGATGAAGAAGTCAATGAAGGAGATAGAATGAAGCCTACGGAGTTCATTCCATTCAGAAGTTTACCACTGAAGACTTCACAGAGAAATCTGGATTCAGATAGTTCTGAGCCTTCCGGAAATTTTGGCCAGCCTTCCAGTATTCCGGAACTCTCAAACGGCGACAATTCCGGAAATGGCAACCCAGTGCCAATCCATCCGGAAACACCAACAACTTCTGTTCTTCAACCAGAAGCTGAACTAGATCAACTAGTCAATCCCAATCAACATAATCTTCGTTGGTTAAGGGATCATCCTCCTCAACAAATCATTGGAGATATTCAATCTGGCGTTCGCACAAGGAGTGCCCAGCAGAATCTAGAAGCTATGCTTGCTTGTTTCATCTCACAAGTGGAACCAAAGAATATTGAAGAAGCTCTAGCTGATTCTGATTGGATTAATGCAATGCAAGAAGAACTCAACCAATTTTCCAGAAATGACGTCTGGAAACTTGTTCCCAGACCTACTCATCAACATGTCATTGGGACAAAGTGGGTCTTCCGGAACAAGATGGATGAAAACGGCGTTGTTGTCAGAAATAAAGCCCGGTTAGTTGCCAAAGGATATTGTCAAGAAGAAGGTATAGATTTTGATGAAACCTTCGCTCCAGTTGCTAGACTTGAAGCTATAAGGCTGTGTCTAGCCTTTGCTGCTCATAAAGATTTCAAGGTCTACCAAATGGATGTCAAAAGCGCATTTCTCAACGGAAACCTCAAGGAAGAAGTTTATGTGGAACAACCTCCACGATTTGAGTTACACACTAAGGGAGATCAAGTGTACAGACTCAAAAAGGCGCTGTATGGACTCAAACAAGCACCAAGAGCTTGGTATGATACATTGTCTCAATTTCTTATAGACAATGGATTTACCAAAGGAATCATTGACAAGACATTGTTCAAACTACAAGATGGAGAAGATCTCTTATTGGTCCAAATCTATGTGGACGACATTATATTTGGCTCAACTAAGGAAGATCTCTGCACCAAGTTCTCAACCCTCATGCAAGGAAAATTTGAGATGAGCATGATGGGGGAACTTAACTACTTCCTTGGCCTTCAAATCAAACAGAGAAGTGAAGGGACTCTCATCAACCAAGCCAAGTACACAAGGGATCTTATCAAGAAATTCAAAGTTGATCAGAAGTCATCCGTTTCTATCCCCATGAGTACACCCACCAAGCTAGATATGGATGTAGATGGAAAGGATGTTGATCAAACACTCTACAGAGGAATTGTTGGATCTCTACTCTACCTTACTGCAAGCCGTCCGGATATCTCATATGCAGTAGGTGTTTGTGCCAGATTCCAGTCAAAGCCAAAGGAAAGTCATCTGATAGCAGCTAAAAGGATTCTTAGATACCTCAAAGGAACTCAGAACATGGGTTTATGGTATGCTAAGAGCAATTCATTTGAGTTAGTGGGATACTCAGATTCTGACTTTGCCGGATGCAAAGTTGACCGGAAAAGTACATCTGGTACTTGTCAATTCATTGGTTGAAATCTTGTTTCTTGGTTCAGTAAGAAACAAAACTCCATTTCTACTTCAACAGCAGAAGAAGAGTACATTGCTGCTGGTAGTTGTTGTGCTCAGATTTTGTGGCTAAAGCAACAACTACTGGACTATGGAGTCAAGACAAAGGAAGTGACAATCTTTTGTGACAATCAAAGTGCTATAGCCATCTCTCAAAACCCAGTGCATCATTCTCGCACTAAGCACATTGATGTCAAGCATCACTTCATCAGAGATCATGTGGAAAAGAGAGATATCAAAATTGAGTATATCTCAACTGAAGAACAACTGGCGGATATCTTCACAAAACCACTAAGTGAAGCCAAGTTTTTCGATTTGCTTCACAAAATTGGTCTAATTCAATTAGACTAAGTGCGGTACACGTGACAGTCCACTTTCCACATCTGTCAATATAGTGGGTAGGCACGTGGCCTTGGGAATAGTCAAAAACCCAATCGCCACCAGCCGCGCAAATCGCCCAAATAAAACCCAATCGCCACTATTCAAATCTCAACCGCCCATTCAAAGTTTTTCGTCGTCTTCTTCGCGAGAAACCCTCAAGAACCCTAAAATTTCTTTAGAATCGTCAAATTTCTGAGAAAATGAAGGTTGTCGGTGCTAATGTCCATTTCCAGAAGTTAGAATCCAAATGCTCCTCACCGGCGTTCTATCAAAACTACCTAGAGATGATAGCCGCTCAAGAACTCGCCGAATTTCTTCAAATGAAGATTCGCCTCAAATATGAAGCTAAGGTTCTGGAATTCTACAAAAATGGAGAGGTCAAGATTGCTCATTCAAAGAAGGACCCACAGAGGACGTTTCAAGTCATCAAATCCACTGTTGGAGGAAGAAAAGTGAAGCTTTCACAGAAGAATTTGGGAGAAAAGCTTCACCTTCCCAATTCTGGAGTTGAAATTGGGAGATTTCCAGTCAAAAATCTGGACTGGAACATCATTGGAATTTCTGGGCAAGCTCCTTCTGGCCCAGCGAAGAAAGCAGATCTGAACAATGACTACAAGTTAGTCTTGGAACTGGTCATCGCTTGCCTCGAGTGTGGAAGCGGAGGTCATGCCGATGACATCACGCAGGAGAAAGCCTTCATCATCAACGCTCTCATTACCAAATCTAAGGTAAATTGGGCTGAACACTTCTTCAAATCTATCTCAAAACATCTGAGAAAGCCAAATCAGAAATACCTTTGTCAAGGTCTGTACATTGGACATATTTTGGAGTCTATGGGTGCTGCTTCTAAAGGAAAGAAGTATGAAGAAAGATATTGGTTATACTATCTGTCTTAAGGGGAAAACAGAGCTGGTGCTAGTGCCACTGCAGAGGAAAGCTCATCAGATAATGTCCCACTCATCAATCTGACGAAGACTGCCAAAAGGAAGCAAGTGGTGTCTCCCTCCATTAGTATTGAAGCACCATAGAACCTTGCTCTGGTCAATCTGGAAGAAGCAGAAGAAGTCTCTGTGCAAGGAGAACTTCAAAGGAATAAGAAGAGGAAACTCTCCTCTCTCTCAACATCTGGATATGACAACCCAGATAAGTTGAAAGAGAAGGAACCTGCTGAGGAAATCTCTGCCCACAACCGGAGTCCTCAACAACTTGAAGAAGAAATCCCTCAAGTCCAAAGCCTTCCAACCCCCTCACCTCAACCTCAAATGGATGATGCTGATAACCAATTCTGGCAGCTCTACTATGATTGGAGAGCATGGAAAGTTGGAAATTCAGCAGAGCAACTGTTGGATTGGGACCAACAGCTGAAGAATGAGAAGATTATCAAGAAATGCTTAGGAATACCAGTCAACCATAGCTGTGAAGAAATCTTGGATGACTACTGGGTATGGCAAAGGAACCATGAAGACCTGCATCTGGAATACCTAGCCAACTCACCAAATTCAGAATTTGAAGTAGATGATGAAGATCCTTCAGTCTACAAACCAGTCTTTTCTAAAGCCATAGAAGAACAAGTGGTTCTCACATCTGAAGCACAAGCTGTCTTGGAAGCAACAGCTGAGGATTTCCAAATATTTCCGGAAACCTCACCTGCCTTTGAAACGGTTCTGACTGAAGCTGTCCAAGAGAAGGCAGCCTCTCCTCCACAAGAACAGAACCAGAAAACAGTAGAAGAAGAAGAATTTCAGCAACTAATCCAATCTCAAGTTTTAGAGACTCTCACAACTCCTTGTGAGATCTCCAATCCTACTGAAACTGAGATCCCGGAGAAGTCAGCAAAAATTCCGGAGCAATCAACTTTTCCAGAAACAAATGAAGAGGAGCAAGCTATAGAAGTCCAAAGGAATTCTGGAGAAGCTGAGAAAGAAACTCAAATGGCAGAACTGGAGGTCTCTAAAACTCCAATAGCCATTTTTGAAGAACAAAATGAAGCTGAAGATAGTGACTCTCTCTCTAGATATATATCGAATTTTGCGCTTGATGAAGCAGAAGGAGAGTCTGAGAGAACACTAAAGATCACTGATGAAGAAGATGTACAAGAAGATGCTGAATCTCTTCCTATGCAGCTCTTCCAAAGAACACCCTCTTCTCATCAGGTAACCAACTTTCATTTTCATAGCTCTTCCACCCCTACACTTCTGGATGAGATACCGGAAATCTGGACAAAGAAGGTCCAAGGGCTGATTGAATCAGCCCTAGCATCTCAACATGCCTCCTTTAGGCAAGATATAGAGCAAATGGAAGCCAGGTACACCAAGCTGATAGAGAAATCTGAAGAGAAACACAGCGCAGATCTCAAAGAAATAAGCAAGTCAGTGCACAAGACTCTAGAGATCATTTCTCTATTGAGTAAAACTGTGAGCAACACGATGGAGATATATGCCTCTGACAATCATCTTCAACTCAAGGAGATTAACAAAGTTAAAGAGCAAATAGCAAGCGTCACAGTTAGTCTACAAAAGTAAATGTCTCTTCTCCAAATGGACATCAGATCAGCTCTAGCAGTTTCTTCAGCAAATCAGGTAGTGACCAAAGACTACTTGAAGGTGATCATTGACAATCAGAAGGAAGCACATAAACTGTTCAGACTTCTTGGCACAAAGTCTGGAAATCGCAAGATGGAAGTGATTCTTCAACAACACAGTCCATCCTTGATACCAGAACTCCCCATTGCAGTTAAAGAAGGAGAAGTCTCTTATATCCCTTCTCATCTGAACATGACTAATCTAATCCTTGAAGCACAGCAAAGAAATCCGGAGAACTCAGCGCATCACCTATCCAGCTCAGGATTGGATGTAACAGAGGCTGTAGGAACAATTGCTGCTCACTTCTCAGATGATAACCAAACAAAGGAGAGACGCAACAACATAAGGCGCATTAAAGAACTTTGTTGAAACATGCAAGGTATCAATGAGGCTGCCGGATCTTCAAAACGCAAGAGGAACTGAAGGTTCTTTTCATCAAACCAGGGGGAAAGTATGTGAAAACACTAATTTGTTTTGATGAAAACACCTTCTTGTTTAAACATTGCCTGATTAGTTTAAACATTGCTTCAACAATTCTCTTACTTGTGCTTGCTTATTATGCTTGATTATGCTTATCTCAAGTATGATTTTGAGAATTTTTTTCTGAAGCGCATACATTCAGGGGGAATGTAATTCAGGGGGAACTTAACTAGTTTTGGCTAATAATTGTTTTTGGCTATGAATTATTGATGAGCTCTAAGCAATGGAAGACGGATATCTCAGTTTTGGTACTAAAATTGGAAATCTCCGATTCAAGTACTTTACAAAATCTGCCTTCTTAAACTAAGCTTTAATCCTTAATTCATTTCCAACTAGCTCTAAAAGTACTGGTCCTTAGGATTTTTATAATGTACAGGACTTTGGAATAATAGTACCACTTTTCTTTTAAAAATAAAATTCACATTTGTTTTGGTATTACCTCGTCCTAAGTAGAAATTAGAACTATAGGGAATGAAAAATGATAGTTTTATTTTGGGTCTTGAGAACCCAATAGGAATAATTTCCCTTTAGTACATAGCTTTCTTTTCTTTTTGGGCCACTCTTTTGGGCTTAGCCAAACTAAAACAGTTACGTTTCTCAAACCAAACGAAACTGATTTTCTAATTGGAACAGTTTCAATTTCTTGGAAATCGGTAAAAGATTCCTTCCACTTTTTGGAAGTTGAAACTCCTTTACTATCACCGTTCCAACTACTCACTTAATGGAACCTGTGAACCTCCTCCTCCCCTATTTAAATCAAGACATTCCAATCCATTTCCATCACAAACAATTCTTTCAACATGAAAAGTCTTCAATTCACTGTCTGAGAAAAACACCAAGAAAATTATCCTCAATGGAGAAATTTTTCTTTCTCACCCTCATAGACGGCAATGGAGAAAAGCCTAGTGAGAAGAAAAATAATCTAAAGTTTATGGTGCAATTCTCGGCAGTAGAGAAAGTTTATGGTGTAATTCTCGTATTTTTCAGGATTATACCATACACTTTTTCTGGAACAACACTCTCTCTATTTTTCTTTTTATTTTTACCTTGACCTCTTTCCCCTCCCTCTCTTTCTTTTTCTGGACTTTATTTTTCTTATTTTTGGACAGTCTCTACACCCTTCTCCCAAGCATTTTCTTCAAATCTTTTCTGTGCAGAATCTGTTCTCTTTCTCAAACATTATTTTTAAAATCTTTTAGAATTTTTTGTTTTTTTCCTTCATCTTTGAAAACCTTATTTTATCTTTTTCACAATCAATTCTCTTTTCCAAAACCATTTATTTCTTGTCTTTCTACTTTTTCTTTTGTTTTCTTCTTTCGTTTTTGTTCTTGTTTTTTCTTTTTGAGAGATGTGTTGCTTCCAAGATCTTGAATATCCACTTTGTATATTAAAGATCTATCAAATGCAACGCCAACCGCTTTGCCAAGCAAGTTCTGCTGAAGCAAAAAACGGTCAATGACGGAAGAAATATCACAAAATCTCAAGACAAGACTTGGTTTAGGAATTATTGTAATTTGAATTGTATTTGTTTAAGAGTTTTTGTTAACAAGCTGTATATCATGAGAAACTAAAAGAAAGTTATAAAATTAGTTCTTAGTACAGCGACCAGAACTCTTAAACTCTTGTTTGTCATCATCAAAAAGGGGGAAATTGTTGGGAAAAATTATAGATTTTGATGATGATGTATTTAGAATGTAATAGGGACTTTAGGTCTTCCCCAATATTCAATGTAACTTTTCTTTTTAGAAATATTGTTAAAACCGAGTTCTTGAGACTTCCAATTAAGCTGTGATATTTCTTTAAGTGGTTTGATGCTTGAAGACTTAATCAAATTCAGTGATAAGGAAATTGGATATCTTGATCGGAAATGTCAGATGTTAGACGCCTCGCACACCTCTAGAGGGGGGTGGGGTGAATAGAGGTGTTGCCCAAAAAACCAAATTTTGGGCGGAAACGTTCTTCACGAATATTCAATAAAAACAATGCACCACAAACAAAATAAAGTGAAGGATAAGAGCAATGCACACACGATATACACTGGTTCGGCCTAAATGCCTACATCCAGTCCCCGGAGCAATCGTGCCCAGGCCTCCACTAACCCGTCAAACTTAACGGAGTTTGACAATCCGAATACAACTCGAGAACTTGATTTCACAAGCCTCTTATCTTACCACCGAAGTTTTGATTTCACAAAACTCAGGATTTCGTCCACCTAACGTTTGATTTCACAAACCGTTAGGATTTCTACCACTTGGTGTAATCCCAACACCAAGAATACAAATCTCTTACAATAAAGTAAGAAAACAAACCGCAACCGAGTAATTCTCCCAACACGGAGTAGATTGTTGCAAATACAATGAAGTCCTTTAGAATATGGCAATATCTCTCAAAGACTCAAGCAATGAGGAAAAACTCAAGCAAGAAATGATTTAGCAATCAAAACAATTGCCTTGCTTGGATATAAGGAGGGGATTGAGTAGAATCTCTTTGGATATTCAAAGGATATGTTTTTCAAAGTGTTCTAAGTGTTCTTATAAAGATAATCACGAAAGTAGATAGTTTATAGAAGTTAGGGAGTGGATATGGATGAAAAGCATTCAAAAAACTAGCCGTTTGGTAGTTGAAACTGTCGAACTATTCGACTAAAGCAAGATTTAGTCGACTAGTTTTGGTGAAACTGCAATCTGGCTTATTCAACTAGTTCTTGATTTATTCAACTAAGTCAGAATAGAAGTTCAGGGTTTTATTCGAATAGTTTTCAATTTATTCGAATAGGTTTCTGAAAAAATTGTGTTTTAAAGGTAGGATGATAAGGGAATGAACCTTAGGTATGCCATACTCTTTAACACATAATCTAAGACCTAAAACACTACCCAACTAATAAAACAACCTTTTCGGCCTTGTTCCTTCCACTGATGCTCAAGTCCCTTCTTCACGGATGAATATAAACTTCTTGTAGCTTTGATTCTTAGCCTTGATGCACAATATGATGATGATGTTTTGTCACCCTTTTGTCATTATCAAAACATAAAAGACAATGGGCAAAGGACATTGCAAAAATATATATCCATAATAGCACATTGTCCAACATCAGAGACAAGTAAGGATTTCTCAAAGAAGATATAAATCCTCAAATCCGGAAGACTACATGATAACCGGATGTCTCGCTACAACCCGCCGAAGGCTAAGTCACCCAAGTTGGAAGACTAGCGCGGATCTCCTTCTCACCCGGAAGACTGAGAACGACTCTCCCGGATTTGTCAGCTAAGAATCGGATGCCTCAAGGAAGACCAGAATTCTCAAAAAGCGGACAAGTGAGAAAAGACTTAGAAAAATTATCTAAGTCTTGAATGAAGAAATTCTACCCGTTGGTAAAGAAAAATCAATCTCTTGATGTTCAACGGCTAGATTGAAGATAATTATGCTGATTCAAGAAATAATGACTCGAAGACAAAGTCTAGACCTCTAAAAATTGAAGAGCCTGTCCAGAATTCCTAAACAAGCACTAGAAGACAAACAGAGTAAAGTGCTACAGTTCTGAATTCTTGAACAACAGCTAGAAGGCGGATTCTGTGGAAAAAGGAATCCCTCCTCAAACAATTGGGTATGTCCAAACACCCATTCCAATGAGGAATCTTCAAATCACAATCTTCATTCAAAATTGAAACCAGCAAATGCAACGGATAGTCTATTGTGATTCAACGGATAGATTATCCAATCCAGCTATAAATAGCATCCTTGGAAGAGTGGAGAAGATACGAAGAGATATAACAACACAACGAAGCAATCTCTAACTAAAAAGCTATCTCATTCACAGTTAGCCCAAAAAGCTTGATAAAGAGAGATTTCTAAACTCCTTATCCAGAAGCAAACTTCTCCTCCTTCCAAAGAGCTATAGTGTAAACACTTGAACGTTTCCTTGCCTCAAGTACCACACCACGTTGAAGGATACAACTTTTGATCAAACTTCTTGATTGAAAGGAGGTAGGTCAACTTTCTTACAAGTTGGTCTTGCAAGTCCTATTGTTCGGAACATGCAGTTGTTGAAGAAGCGTGACCTTCGAAGGAACAACAAAGCCAGCACGAGTGCAGTAGCAACATTGGCCTTGCGAAGATATACCGTGCAGAAATTCACACAAGTGTAATTGTTGGTTCATTATTCAACAACCAACTACATAGTGGATTTTGAGGACGTAGAAGGATTACCCCACCTTCGAACCTCGTTAAAGTTTGCGTGTCTCTCTCTTTTATCTTTACTCTTACTTGCAATTATATTAACTGTGAAAACTAACCTATCCATATTGATTACTGCTCACTATACCCACCAAATTCCGCACACAATCTGAAGTTTACAAGGACTCTAGATTAACACTCATTTTCATGTTTTCAAAAGAAACGAAAAAGTTTTAAATTTGTAACAAAGTCTATTCACCCCCCCTCTAGACTTTGTATCTCACCACTTTGGGACCACCAAGACGAACCTTTTCTTCAGTTTCACGGACGAGATCAGGTCCTTCAAGCCTTTGCTCGCTTAATTCTGTCCAGCATACTGGGGTTCTACAACGTCTCCCATACAAGGCTTCGTACAGGGCCATTTGGATACTCGCTTGATAACTGTTGTTATAAGTGAACTCCATTAGCGATATGTATTGTTCCCATTTGCTTCCAAAATCAATTACACATGCTCTCATCATATCTTCAAGAATTTGAATTGTCCTTTCAGATTGTCCGTTTGTTTGAGGATGAAATATCGTACTAAAGTTGAGTTTAGTACCTAGAGCCTTTTGCAAACTCTTCCAGAATTGCGACGTGAATCGCGGGTCACGATAAAAAATGATAGACAAAGGTACACCATGTAATCTTACGATTTCACGCATGTACAATTCTGCCAATTTCTTCAAAGACATATCACGTCGAATTGGGATAAAATGAGATGACTTGGTTAATCGGTCAACGATTACCCAGAAAGCATCATTCTTTTTGGTTGATAATGGAAGTCCAATCACGAAGTCCATCGTAATTCGTTCCCACTTCCATTCAGGGATAGTAGGTGGATGTAACAATCCACTTGGCACTTGGTGTTCAGCCTTCACTTGCGGACATGTCAGACATCGCGTAGTGAATTCAGAAATTTCCCGCTTCATTGTGGGCCACCAATATGTCTTTCTTAGATCTTGGAACATTTTATTACTGCCAGGATGCATGGTATATGTGGTCTCGTGAGACTCACGCATTAAACGTTCCCTCACTTCGCCACTAGGAACTACCAAACGATTCTGGTAGAATAAAATTCCATCATTTATAGAGAAATCTTGTCTCTCCCCCTTAGAGACAAGTTCACAAGTCTTCAAACAGTAGTCATCACGTTTTTGTGCAACGTGAATTTCGTTCTCAAGAGTAGGCTGGATTCGGAGTTCGGCTATCATCTTTCGGCTCAATGCGTCAGCAACTACGTTAGCCTTGCCGGGGTGATAGTCGATGTAACAGTCGTAGTCTTTGATCAATTCCAACCATCTTCTTTGTCTCAGGTTCAATTCTTTTTGAGTTAGCAGGTATTTTAGACTTTTGTGGTCTGTGTGAATATATGTCGTCTCTCCAAAGAGATAATGACACCGTATCTTCAGAGCAAATATAACTGCTGCTAACTCAAGATCGTGAGTAGGATAGTTACACTCGTGAGGTTTCAACTGCCTTGATGCGTATGCCACGACTTTTCCATCATGCATAAGTACACATCCCAAGCCATTATGAGATGCGTCACTAAATATTGTGTAGTCTACACCTGGTACCGGTTGTGTTAGTACAGGTGCTTCTATCAGACATTTCTTTAGTTTCTCAAAGCTTTGCTGACATGCATCGGTCCATACGAATTTCACATCCTTTCTGAGAAGTTTGTTAAGTGGAGTTGCGATCGAGGAAAAGCCTTCAACAAATCGTCGATAGTATCCAGCTAATTCTAGAAAGCTTCTCACTTCACGAACATTCCTTGGAACCTTCCACTCGGTGATGGCAGATATTTTACTAGGGTCCACTTTAACACCTTCTTTAGAAATCACATGTCCCAAAAATGTAACTTCATCAAGCCAGAATTCACACTTTGACAGTTTGGCATACAGTTTATGTTCTCGTAGTACACTGAGTACTATCTCCAAATGTTTTGTATGATCTTCTCGATTCTTCGAATAGACAAGAATATCATCGATGAATACAACCACGAATTGATCAAGATAAGGTCGGAATACACTATTCATGAGATCCATGAATACTGCAGGAGCATTGGTCAAACCAAATGGCATTACCCAAAACTCATAATGACCATAACGAGTATGGAACACAGTCTTTGGGATGTCCTCTTTCTTTACCAGGATTTGATGGTGTCCTGACTGTAAGTCAATCTTAGAGAATACAGTAGATCCTCTAAGCTGATCAAATAAGTCATCGATACAAGGTAAAGGATATCGATTTTCGATTGTGACTTTGTTTAATTGACAGTAATCGATGCAGAGTCTCATCGATCTGTATTTCTTTTTGACAAACAGAACGGGTGCTCCCCAAGGGGAAACACTCGGACGTATGAATCCTTTATCGAGAAATTCTTGTAGTTGAGCCTTCAACTCTTTCATTTTAGCAGGGGCCATGCGATAGGGGGTTGCAGATATCGGTCCTGTTCCAGAAAGAAGGTCGATAGAAAATTCTACTTCTCTGGAAGATGGTATACCAGGAAGTTCATCAGGAAATACGTCGGGAAAACCACATACTGTCGGTATGTCTTTCAACTCAGGAGTTTCCTTTCGTATGTCACGTACGTTACACAGATAAGCTTCACATTTCTTCCGAATGAGGCGCCTAGCGTGTATGTACGAGATGAATTCAGTGGATTTAGGTGTTAGCTTCTCTTTCACCTCTATAGATTTTTCCTCTCCAGACTTTAGTTGAATCGTTCGTTGTCAGCAATCGATAACTGCTTGGTGTTTGGTGAGCCAATCCATTCCGAGGATGATGTCAAATTCTTTGTACGGTAATTCGACAAGATTGGCAGAGAACTGATGTCCTTCAACAATCAATGGACAGTTTTGATACACATGATCTAACCTCATACTATGTCCTAACGGATTAGAAACTAGTATAGGTTGTTCCAATTGTTCTTTCATTATGTTAGCTTTTTCAGGCATATGTACACAGATATAAGACAATGTTGACCCAGGGTCTATCAACACATGCATGACAGTATCAAATAAGGAAAACATACCCTGAATGACGTCAGGGTTTTCCTCAGCTCGCGCTTTCATTGCGTAGGTCCGGGCAGGAGCTCGTCCTTGCTGTTTGTTTTGACTTTTAACAGGATTAGATCCCGCAGTTGACCGTTGACTTGGTGCAGGTCGTGCTGATGCAGATTGGCTAACAACGGGGGCAGATGGAAATGGTTCTCCAGGATTTGTAGGGCACTCCTTTTTGAAATGTCCTGGTTTTCTGCAGCCGAGGCACAACCCTTGTGTAAGCCAACATTCCCCAAGGTGGTGTCTTCCGCATTTATCGCACTGTGGATTTTTCCACCCCTTAGTCCTATTACCGAATGTCATTGACTGGGTTTGTGCAGATTTTCCCTTTTTAGAGAAATGTGAACTACTAGATTCCTGGAAGGGCCTTTTTCCTTTTGAGACAGAGTAAGTGGGACGGTGAGTGCTTGAGCCAGCATTGTTTGCCTTTAGGTACTCTATGCAAGCACTCAGGTCACTATCTGCCCTGGCTATGATCTCGTAGGCCTCTGCGAAGTCCACGGTGGTTAGGACGGACACACGTGACCTTAGGTCAGGTCGAAATTTCGTCCTGAATTCCTCAATGCGATCGGTTGGGGTACTCACCAAGGTTGGCGCAAACTTTGCAAGTTTGGTGAACTTCTGACGGTATTCAGCGAGTGTCATGTTTCCTTGTTCCAGCTCAACAAATTCCTTACGTTTTTCCTCACTAAAACGTTTCGGAATATATTCTTGCTTGAATGCCCAATCGAAATGTGTCCATGTCCATGGCTTAGGGGTTCCCGCACTCTCATCGGTTCTCTTCCACCACTCGTAGGCTTCATTGCGCAGCAGTTGAGAAGCCAGTCGAGGGTAGTTGTCCATAGGTACATTGAGATCCTTCAACACTCGAGCAGTCTGCTTGATCCAATCCCACGCAATTTGGGGTTCACCGATGCGATCCCCTAGGAATAATTTTGCACCGTTATCCCTTAGAGTTTTGTAGGTTATAACTCGAGGTGGCGGTGGTGGAGGTGGTTGAAACATTGGTGCGTTGGCTATTTGTTGCAACATGTTAGCCAAGAAAGTCGGAATTACAAGGTCGGGTTGACCACCAGCATTCAGGTTATTCCCAACATTTTGTTGATTGACGGGTACATTTTGGATGGGAGGGGTGAAACTAGATGCTTCAGTATGAACACTGACGTGTTCATTGTTGTTGCCTTGTCCGTGGGCAGATTCTTGACTCATTCTACAATAACAGAAATTCCTTTATTAGGGTTCTTTTATTCAGTAGTTGAGTTTAAGACAGGAATTGAAAAGGATTACAACAGTCGACACAATCAATGGATTTTGAAACGATCAACAAGATAGTTTCTAAACGTTTGCGTTCGATTGGTTGGATCGTGACGAATCTACAGCTGGGTCTTCTACGACTGACCTGCACACGCTGTTTGCAGAGTCTACGCTGAATGTCTCTTCCGGGTCATCACGTTCCCATGCAGCCTTGCGGCGCAGATAAATCCTTCGTTTCATTATTCTCGCAAAGCGATGAGCACGTTGATATCGTATCAGCGAGTCATATACATTTCGTTTGTTCTTTCGTCTTTTACCAAGTATGAAAGTGCGACTTGAATCAACACTTGATATCATTTCCGAATTAACAGTTGACATCTATAAAGATTTAATACAGTCAAATTCAATACTTAATTTTTTTATTACCTTCCTGGAGCAGAGGGATGCGAGAGTCGTGAATTTGATTGACATCATTTTTTTAGGGTCGAATATATATATATATATATATATATATATATATATATATATATATATATATATATATATATATATATATATATATATATCATATATATAATTTTTTTTTTAAAACAAACTTTTGATCCGAAGATCGGTTTTAAAACCATTTGCTCTGATACCAAATTGTAACACCCCAATCCGTCCAGGTCTGCAGCCCCTTTCAGACTAAAGTATTAACTTGGTAATCGTAAAATTTAAAACATTTCAAATACTTTTATTCATCATAAATATTATTTAATATATAACTGTAGAAAAATACGGAGTGTTTAACAATAATGCGGAAGCAAATTAAACCATGTTTAATAACAACACAATTATTTATTTGAAATCACAAATTCCACCACGACAGTCTCTCCCCTTCTGCTTCCAGGAACATGCCAATCATTCATTCTGCCTACCTGCGTGTAGCAAATAAAACATACTACACGCTCAGCGATGAAGCTGAGTAAGCATATCTAAAGCGTCGAACATCCACATAAATTGAATCTCAATTCACAAATAACCATTTGATATCATGCACACAATGTATAATTCATTCATGATATTTTCAATATTTTTATTTCAATATCTCAATATTCAACATTCATATTCAATATTCAATATTTAACAGTATCCTTAAACTATACTTAGTCTAAGGCCAATTCCATTCTTAAACTAATTCCAGTTCAAGATATCCTAATCCATAAGCTAAGCCTAGTTGAAGATATATATTTTTAAAAGAGTTTTTTTAATCTTAAACTTACCTTCGCTTAAGGTCAACAAAAAACCGACAGCGTAGTGTTCACTGTTGGGTTAGGTGGTACCCACAAACGAGTAGGTACTCAAGTTTGGTTCTTGGATCCCGTACGTACGTTTTAACCCTAGCCACCGGGAATCATACCCGCAAGGCCTAGCTTATATAGGTATATATTAGAGTTCTTCTAGATACCTTTCAAAATCAACTTCACTATGGGTATATCTTAGAATTATTCTACATACCCTTTACAATACATTCTCGTTATGACTATCAATATATCCATTTTTAGTTATGATTAAGTCATCAATAATCATTCTAATCAGTAAGTTCATCATTCATAATCATTAATAATATTTATTCATCATAATGATCAATCAACATAATATTTGGTAACAAATAGCGGCCTAGTCTCGAGTGTTAACATCCGGACTTACCGTCATACATCACATAATGTTTTAATTTGTTAAAAACATCATTTTTATTGTGAAAAATGATTTTTATAATAATCATAATCAATTGGTATCAAAAATAGGATTTTAGAGCTCAAAAATAGCAATTTCAGACAAATTTTCGGATCATGGTTTCAGAGGATCGATCCAGGCAGTGTTTTTCAGCTTACTGTTCATCTTCTTCAACCTTCGGCCTATTTTTCGGAAATCCCGTTTTTAGGCATCGAACTTCAATTAAACTATATAGAGATGTTCTCCAAGGTTCATAGATGATTTTAGAGTTATTAAAACATATTTTTAACATCAAGTTCAAGGTTTATGATTCTTGGTTCTTCAAACATGTCAAATACAAAACTCAACCAAATGACCATTTATGAACGTAAAAACAACCTACATGAACATTCTAGTCTTTAGATATATCCACGGGCTTATCTCGAAGCGTAAGGGAGGTTTTGAAGATTTTCCAGCGAAATTTCCGGCGACTCTATCTCACTGCTCCGGCGACTTCTCACAGAGCTGACAACACCAGTATATTCTCCTCTCTCAGAACAAGAGAATAGGATGAAGAATTATAGATTTTGGTGGAGAAATGGGAGAATTGGCTCTCTTTAAATAGGCTAGTGAAGAAGAAAAAGACACAGGTTTGCAGCTTCCGTGATTGAGCGGTGATTCGTATTTTGGAATCCTCGTAATTGAACAGGGCGCCATTTGGAATGTAGTCCCTGATTGGGACTAATTTTTGGTCCCAGTTGGGGTACACTTTTTGGTCCAACTTTCTCCGAATTGAAATCCGATTGAACCGTTGGGGTCAGACAGTCAAACTCTACACAACGATATAATTTTTATCAATTATTGACAAACTTTAGAATTTACTTATTTTTGGGTCCTTCTCAGTAATTAATTAATTATTAATTAATTAATTCTGATAGGCCTTTTTTTGGGGCGTTACAATATATATATATATATATATATATATATATATATATTAAAAAGGGGTGCTCTATTAATTGAAAGAAAAAAGGGGAAATACAATCAAGAGGTTGCAACTAGGTTCTAGACAAAAGTAACCTAGTGCGCTGGAAACTAGAGATACCAAATCTAAACACATGAGATTTGTAGAGGAAAGAAGTGTCTAGTTTGTTTGCCCAAAACCAAGCTTGAGAGAGTTTGTTTATGGATGTCATTAAAGCATTTGTGGATGTTCTGTGATTTTCATAAAGGAATGAGTTGTAGTGCTTCCAGATGGTCCAGCAGATAAAACCAGGCAGGAGAAATCTCAGGTTTCCTTTGATACTTCCCTTGTTTGACGAAAGCCACCAGCTCAGTATCCTTTGCTGGACTGATAGATTTCCTCTATCCCTAGGTGCATTGACAGCCAAGGAGTATGCTTGCCAAATAGGTGATATGGTGAAGCAGCCTTGAAATATATGATGTTCATCAACATTCATCTCCATGCAAAAAGGACAATGGATTTCAGCCATGATTCCCATTTTATGGAGATTCCTTGGGAAAGGCAGTAGGTTATTGAAAAAACGCCATAAGAACATGCTGATTTTTCCCATTTGCCTCTTGTCCCAGATATAGACACAAGTGAACATTTTTGGCTTATGTTCAAACGTAAGGGAGTAGGCAGCTTTAAAATTGTAAGTCCCTGATGTCCATATTATCCCATCCTCTTGAAAAGTGCAGTGTGGAAGGACTAGAGGGGTGATTTTACAGATAGCTTTCCATGTGTAAGAGTCATAGATCTTTGGAGAGAAGAGACCATCTCTGTAATAGTTCTGCCTCATGAATTTTCCCCATAGAGAGTGACCCTGAACCACTTTCCACCAAAGATCAATGAACGCAGCAACTTGGCAGTGTAGGAGATTTCTCAAACCCAGCCCTCCTTCCTCAAATGGGAAACATAGTCTATCCCATTTCCTCCAGTGATACTTATGACCTTCTTCTTTTGCCCCCTAGAAGTAGTTTGCCATAAGCCTGTTTAAGCTTTTAAGGATTGATTTGGGGATTCTTTGAGCAGCCATAAGATGTAAGGGAATCAAAGATAGCACATGTTTAATGAGAATGAGCCTCCCCATTTGGTTTAGCTTTTTGCTATACCAAGCATTTAGCCTCTTCTCAAATTTTTCAATCAAGTCCTTGCAGTGAACTTTCCTTAGTTTACCTTTGACAATAGTAGAGCCAAGGTAGGTGAACTCCTTTGTGTTGCATCTGATGGAGAGAATTCTCCTAATCATATTCTGTTTTTCAATCTTCATCTTTCCATGAACAATTACTTGGCTCTTGGAGTAATTTATTTCTTGTCCTGAAGCCCTCAAAAAGGTGGAGAGGAGTTCCCTAAGTCTTAAAAGATTCCTGCTATTAGCTGTGGTAAATAAGATGATATCATCAGCATAGAGGAGATGGCATGGTGTGGGGGTTCTTCCAGCTGAGAAAGGCTTGATAAGGCCACTGGAGTGATGATAGTTTAGGAACCGGGACAGACCTTCCAAAGCAATGATGAACAGTAGTGGGGAGAGGGGGTCTCCCTGCTTAACACCACATTTCATGGGAAAGAACCCCTTTGGCTGCCCATTAACTAGGACTGAAAAATGGGTTGCCTTTAAATTACCCATTAGGAGATGTATGGCATGCTGGATAAAGCCAAATTTGGTAAGTACACCTTCCAAATAGGTCCATGAGAGTTTATCGAAAGCCTTTGAGAGATCAAGTTTGATTATGCAGTTTCCACCCCTAGTATTTGCAGAGAGAAGGTGGACCATCTCTTTTACCATGAGAATTTGGTCAGTTATGTTTTTACCAACCTGGAAGGCTGCTTGCTCTTGGGAAATCAGTTTTGGAATGATCTTCTTGAGCCTCTCACTTAAAATTCTGGAAATGATTTTGCTGAAAAAGGTGGATAGTGAGATGGGACGAAATTGATCCAAGGTAATGGAACCTTCCTTCTTTGGGATAAGGGTGAGGAGAGTACTGCCAAAAGCTTTTGGAAGGGGGATACCCAGAAAAAATTCTTGGACTGCCTTACAAACATCAGTTTTGATTGTATCCCAAGAATCTCTGAAGAAGAAACCATTGAAACCATCAGGACCTGCAGTACTATTCGCATTAAGGAACCAAATAGTCTTTTTGATTTCCTCCTCCTCTGGGATAGCCATAATCAAACTGTTGTCCTGGTGGGAAACACAGGTAGGGATGTGAGCCAGGATTTCCCCCATTTCCCCTTCATGGTTGGTTGAGAAAACACTGGTGAAATGCTCGACAACTAAATTAGAAATTCCCTCAGTGGTATTAAAAATTTTCCCATTGCCATCTTTTAGTGAGGAGATAAACAACCTATGTCTTCTTCCTCTAACAAAAGAGTGAAAGAAAGCTGTGGAGGCATCGCCCTGGGAGATCCATTTTAGATTTGCTTTTTGAGCCCAAAAACTTTCCTCCTTTTTTAGAGTTTGTTGGAGGAGGGCTGTGGCAAGTTTGAATTCAAGTAGGTTGGTTTCTGAGTCATCATTTTCAAGATTTTCCTCAGCCTTTTCTGCCCTTTTTTCAGCATTTGACACTTCAAGGAACAGGTTGCCAAAAGTCTTTTTGTTCCAAACATGGAGAGATCTCTTGAAATTGGAGAGCTTTTTAGCCAACCCTCTCATACCCCCACCTTCATAGTGCATATCCCAAGAGGAAGAGAACATGTTTTTGTATGTATTATGAGACGTCCAAAAATTTAGGAATTTGAAAGGCCTTGGGCCTGAAGCTGAACTGTGAAGAAGCTTGATTTGGATAGGCCTATGATCTGAATTCCCCCTGCCCAGGTGTTTAATTTCAATGTTAGGGAATAGATCCATGCAAGCTTCATTGATAAGAACCCGATCAAGTCTTCTGCACACCCTCCCCCTACCCCTTTTTCCAAACCACGTGAATTGGCTACCAAGAAAGGGAGGGGAAATGAGCTCACAATCTGAAATGGCCTTATTTAAGTCATCCATACTACGAATATCAGGGCAAATTACACCTTTGTGTTCAGTAATGGAGGCAACGGTGTTAAAATCTCCACCAATGATCCAAGGGCACTGAATTGGATACAGACCTCTTAAAGAGTTCCAAAGGCTAATTCTATCAACTCTGTTGTGTTTTCCATAGACATTTGAGATCCACAGAGAAGATGAGGATTCAAGGTGTTTAAAACAACAAGAGAGGATTTGTTCTTCCTCAATAACAGCCTGGAGTGTTAGAAGTTTCTCATTCCAGAAGAACCACAATTTATTATTAAGAGCATGAAAGCCTTTAGAGAAACCAAGCTTGAGTTTGTACCAATCAAGTTTGCCAGGATCAGTCATGGGTTCAAAAATAGAGAGAAAATGAAAATTTACTTTTTTGAGAAGAGAGATGAGGCGGGGGAGAGATATAAGAGCACCTATAATGTTCCAGAAGAGACCAATCATGGGGAAAACAAAGGGGTGGATCTGTTTGAGGAAATCTGTCTAGTGATCATCTTGTGGCTCCTCCCCTTGTCTTGGGAGCTGTTTGTTGTGGAGTTTTGAGGGATAGATGTTTTCAGGGGTGGGAAATCCTCCCTGGAGAGGAGGTTATCCAGCTCTTTAATTTGCTTATCTATCTCCTCAGGTTCATTGAAAAAACCAAATTCTGGGGAATCATCATCAGGGAGAACAATTCCTTCAAAGGGGATTATAGCCATATTATTATCCACATCATCTTGGACTTCGTGTATTATGGGGGCTCTAAACACATCCTCATGTAGATGACATAAAGTGAGAGAGGAAAGGATAGAAGGATCTACCAGAGAGTAGGTCCCCGTCTTTGTTTTCCAGCCTTATGTTCATCAAGAATTTGAAAATTATTGGAAACTAGAGTGCTGTTGATAGCTGGAGGAATTTCATGGTTTTTGGAGGTTTCGCCTGGCCCTTCCTTCCAAGGAGGAATAATTGGTGCAGAGTGTTTGGCCCGCCATTCAAACTTTCCTCCCCCAGCCTCTGACAATTTGTCCTTACCCTTTTTGGAAACTACCTGTTGCCATTTTCCCTCATTTTTTTCTCCCAAGAGTTGATCCTTACTGTCCTTGGCAACCTTTTCCGATGTAGCTTCCTTTTTCCGATCAGCCTGTTTCCGGTGACAAGTGTCTTGGAGGTGACCAGTTCTCTTGCAGCTCTTACAGTAAAGGGGGAAATTTTCGTAGTAGAAGGAGAAGATAAGTTCCTCCCCACCATGGTTGATGAGGACCTTCGCCGGAGGAAGGTTAGAAATATCCACCTCCACACAGCACCTCGCCAAACCAGGCCTAGAGAAATTTAGGGTGCTTGAATCAACCTTCAAAGGGGTGCCAATGGAGGAAGAGATAAGATGTAGGGCCCTCTTATCATGAAGATGGATGGGGAGATCTGGAAATGCAATCCAAATATGCATAACAGGGCTTTCGGTTTCTTGGGAGAGGGAGGGGCTCCATTTGGTGAGGGTCATGGTGTATCCAAATACCTGCCATGTACCTCGTAAGAAAAGGCGTAAATAGTCCTCCTCTTCCCTGAAATTTATCAGGAACCTCTGGTGTGGAAGAACCGATAGCTCATAGCTTCCTTTGAGACCCAGCTTTTGCAGGAATTTGGTCATGGAGGTGAAGGAAGGACGGGTCAGGAACTTTGCAACAAGCGCAAGCTTGAAGCGGGAGGAGAGCTCAGATATGTCATCCCTTGTGAAAACAACAGAGGGGATACCCTTGAAGAATCCATTTGGTTTCCCCTCCAGTCTTTTGCCGCTGAAATCTGCTGAAACCACCTCGGAGAAAAGCCTGTTTAGAGAGAGAATCAGCCATGATATCATATATTATATATATATATGTGTGTGTGTGTGTGTGTATGTATGTATGTATATATGTATATATGTATATATATATATATGTATATATATATATATATATACATATATATATATATATATGGATATATGTATATATGTATATATATATATATATATATATATCTAAGTCTAGGCGACGCCTTACAAACTATGATCTAAGAGATGTGCTAAGTCTAACAAGTTGGTTGGTTAGTCGTTATCCATTCCAATTTGAAGACATATTATTTCTTTGGTATTAATTCAATATTTTATTCATAGCTTTCCTTCGCATCAAGTTTAAGTATTTACTTTTTTAGACTCCTAAGGTTTCCTTATATGCTTCTCTACTTGGATGAATTTAATGCTCATTTTATGAATGACTTAATACTGGGAAGAGATTAGAGTCATGATTGTTTAAGCTGCTCATAATGTTTATGTGTCCCTTATATCTTTTAGTGTCCAATTTAGATCATTTGACACAAGTTCTCAAATGCCTTTTGGAAGAGCTCTCGTTGACCTTTGGTGATTTTATTGTATATTTATAAATGAATATTGAATTATGTTTAAAAGACTCTAGAAATATCTAGTTATATTTATTTTTTGTGGGATTCTACAAGGTTGTTGTTGTTGGTATGGCTTCTTTTTTTGTTAGAATGAGCAAGTTAAGTATTTTGCTTCCTCACTTCATGAGTAGACTATCTAGCCTCTATAACATGAGGTCATTGCCATTATGCTTCATTTTCTTAATTTAAATTTTCATCTTATTTTACTATATTGTGCTGATATAATAAATTGATATAATCATGTATATAATTTATTCCTCTCTTCTTAACAAGTCTTTTATATGATACAAAAGTATAATGTATGGGCATTGAGAGTTATAACAAGCTCACCAAAGATGTCACTTATAGCTCTCATGCTGCAACATCTAAATCAACATAGTAGAATGTTAGAGAGATGGGTTTTCCTAGAGGAAAGATGCTAATGTCTCTCTCCAAACAAAAAGCTCCAACCGTGCAATCTTTGTAGCGAAATTTTGGGAGCATTAATCAACGTATTTTTGCAAATTTTACCATGGAGTCTAGTAAATTAATTAATTAAAGGATAGTAACGAGGATGTTAGTCCGTTTCTTCCTAGGACAACCATTCAAGAGTTCTGTCTCGAGGTGTCTTGCTCAAACTAGGTATGTTTGTGGATTAAAATTTAAAAAGGATTGTGCAATGCTACAATTACAAACTGGTTGGTTTTCATAGATCTGGTTTAAGGATTAAATTTATCACTAATTTTTTATTTTTTAACATCTTGAAACAGCCAAATCAAGGCCTTACGTATACAGGGAGTATCATATAATGGAAGGATATCATATATGAACATCTATGGTTGGTGTTAGGCGTGTCGTAACACTTACAAATTAATTTATTATTTTCCTTAACTAAAATCCCCCTTTATGAATTAATATTCTTTAAAACATATAGATATGGCAAGTAAGGGTCGATCCCACGAGGAAAGATATTTTTTAGGCTATGAAAATCAGTTTACTTGTCACTTTTATTGAATAAAAACAACTAACTAAAATCTAAAAACAACTAACTAAAGGATATGGGGGGTTTGAATGATAATTTTAAAAAGATAAATGCAAATAAAATAAAGATAAAGATAACAAAGAACGGATACGAGATGGAACCACAGCAGCAAGTCGAACTCAAAAGCCACTCAGGGAGAAAACAAACACACAAAAACAATCACACAATAAACTTTATAAAAACGTAGACAATAATAATTAACTTAAACCATTTTGAAAATACTTATAGTTTTTAGTAAAAAATAAACTGAACAAATCTGATTAACTAATTAATTATGCCTTAATTCTGAAATTAAACTGCTAATTAAACTCAGGTTTAGGCTGAAGAAGAGGTCCACCAACAGTTCTTCCCTATTTTCCCATTCATATTAGCTCATGTTAAGACCAACCCTAACTCTAAACCCCACTATCCTTAGCAACCCAAAGACCAACCCTTAAGTTACTACTAAGAATAGCGCATTAAGATTTGTGGAAGACATCACCATAACGACTTTGCAGTAACACTACGGTTATTTAACAAAATCAGTTCGAGAACCTTGATTAATAAAAACCACTTAGCGAGGCAGCAAGTACTAATCAAGTGACACTTAGTTTCTAGAAAAGTTCGGCTATTTAAAACACTTTGGACTTTAAAAGAATATCAATTTAAATTGGATTAGGCTGCAATCCTAATTTGGTCCAATTTAAGTAAAATTTGGTGAATAATAGTTCTCAAAACACTTTTTTGAGTTTAGATTTAACAGTAGCATAGAGCTAAAATCTCTTCAAAGTCAAATTAATTCAACAAACAAAGATTCAATCTTTTTTTATCAAATAATTTGACCTAAGAAGGTTTTATAATTTCAAAGACAAATAACCAATCAATAAATCCAACCTGAACAAATCCAACGTCAACACTCAAGGAAATCAGCACTTTTAACACTTAAACTTTCAAAACAAAATTGCTGCTGAACGTGCACATTCGGAGTGTTTAATAATGGACACAAATTCGGAATCAAGATTCCAATAAAAATCACAAGTTTAATTTAAGGACTGCAAAATAATACGGAGTAGATTTAAAGGAAATAGTGCTCCCCTAGAATTGTCTTCTTCATCGCTGCGCAGATTCCCAGAACCAGAGTCATCCATGGCTTCCTTCCAGTGCGCCGGACCCATTGACATCGCCGCCATCTCCGGATTGTTGTCATCGGACTGCCGGGCCTAGGGTTCGGAACCCTAGGCCGGCCCCCTGCTCTGCTCCCGATCTGTCTCTCGATCTCCCTCTAGAGTTGGGGTTGAAGGAGATCATTTTTCTTGTGGCTTTTGTCTCCTTTTATAATTGTGAAGTTTGGAATCTTCAATTTGGAGTAGGATTCTTGGAATTTGCGTTGGATTTGGGGAAGGACTCTGTTTCTTGCGCCTTCCGTTTGGAGTCTGCTCTCTTCTGCGCTGGTTTGCTTCCTCTTCTACGGTTCTCTCTTTTTCTTTCTCTTTTATTTATTTGCTTGCTTCAATAATTGGTTGGGTCAAAAGGGTGGTGGATCAAATACATCTTTGGGCTTGGTCCTAACTTCATTCTTCTCCCATTACTTTTGTTCCATAGGCCCAATTCCATTATCTTCCTTAGATCAGGACTCCAAATTAATTATCAAATATAAATATGCTTAAAATCATGCATTTTATGTATAAAATGTAAACAATGGCCTAAAATGCTAAATATTAGAAAATATGCTCATTTAGGTATAAAATGCATATTAAATATATTAAAACTACTAAAAATGACGGAATAAAATACGACATTTTATGACTTAACAAATACCCCCACACTTAGACTTTTGCACGCCCTCGTGCAAACTAACATTGAAAATCAATTATTTTCCATTTCGTTGACATTAGAATTCAAAATAGTTTCTCAATCACATAACAGTCTAAAGTGTTGCATGAAACATTAACTAAAAATTAACCATGTACCAAATAGAATAAACACTTTAAAAATCAATTTACTACTCTAAGTTTTAAAACAATTCTTTTACTTCAAAGCTAAGTAGAAATTACTTTAATCTAATATCAAACCATTGAGAACAATTTAAAAGAAACAAATAGAGCAGCAAAAAATAGTTAGAAATCCTAAGAAACAATCAAGTAAAGAAAAACTCAAGAAAATTTATTTTCTTTTCCAAAATTTGGAAACTTTTACTTATTGCTTTGATTTAATATTTTAATTTTAATTGTTTGAGTTGACCCGTGTAGCGAGTCTCAACCAGGCTACCCCAGGCCCATTCCAGATTGCCCGGGACCTAAACAAACGAAGTATTCTGAGGGTTTCAACTCGAGTGCTCAAACAATATTTTCATTCATTTTTTATATTTTTTTCTACCTAGCCATTTATAGTACTTCTAATTTCTCAACTAAAATTACACATAATGAGAGGAATTATGGAGATCATGGGGTTGTGATTCCTTCCTTTCCGGTCTCGTTCTCTTCCCATTCCCCCACAATCTGGTGGTATGGGCCATGTGTCCTCTTTTTCTCTTAGACAGGATTATCCCAATTCAGCCCGTGATTGGGCCGTCCGTTTCATCACTTCACATGCGCCTTGGTGGGCTCGATCCGTTGCCCGCACTTGGACTTGTCCACTTTGTACGGTTGCGGGCCTTTATTGGGCCTAGAGTCGGGTCCATCAGACCCGATATCCATCACAAGCCCCCTAGTTTTCTGGCGACGTGTCGCTAGAAAACTAATGATGAGCCGCCTTCGGTTTTCGTGTCGGATTAGAAACGTCGCACTCGAGTGCCTTGGGTCCCTCCTTACAACGTATATAACCCCTTATGGACTCACCTTCTTCCTCCTTCGCTGCCAAATCTTGACCCGACCCGAATTCCGACTGCAATTGCCCCAAATTCTCGTTTCTTTCTCCGAAATGGCCCCTCCCGCAACTTGGATCCATGAGTCCTCTATCATCAAAGAGGATGAACTTCAAGAACTGGCCGAATTTCTGAGCAGAGGCTTCCGGATCCACCATCCTGATGTTGTCGGGGGAATCAGTCTATCTCATAATTCGGACCCCCAGAAGTATATGGTCATGCACTACCATTCGATAGAGAACGGGTTCAGACTGCCCCTCCATGGTTTGGTTCGCGACATCTGCCGCCATTTTGGGTTCCCCCTGGTCAATTGACTACGAATGCGCACAAGTATGTCGCGTCCTACATCTTGCAGTGCTGTGCCCTGGACAGAACCCCCACGGTGGACGAATTCATTGTCCTTTTCAGCATCCGCGGGGCTTTCCCTTATTATAGCCTGTTTCCTCATCCCCAGTCTCCAATTTTTGAGAGGGTCGAGTCCAAAATCGACAAGTGGGCCCGCTGCTACTTCGTCATCGAGTTCCCGGTTCATAGTCCCATAGATTTGCTGGGTGTAGTACGCCGTAGTTCTCTCTCCCGGACTCCGTTTGCAGCTATACCCCTGGCGGAGGCAGCATACAACGCCTTGAGAGAGAAAGGGGGTTTGATTTCACATCACTCCCTTCAGGACGACATGTTGTACAAGAAGGCGGACTTCTACTACCCTCTCGGCCCTGACCCCATCCCGTTTGAAGGGGTATCTTCCCCCGAAAGGTCAAAGGCTCCTCCCGTTGTGGAATCCAATCGAGCCGGGAGCTCCTCCGGGAACCAGGCTCAAGGTAACACTACTGCCTTGGCAATTTGCAAGCCGTCTGCTGCCCTGGATGCCATCGCCATCTCTGCCATTCCTGGGCTAAGGAAACCCACACCGTCCCAGAAGCGGCCACGGGAAGGAGTCACCGATGATGATTTCCTTCCCAAGAAGAGCAAGGGTGATGGTACTCCTGCTTCGCCCAGCCCCCTGATGCCTCTTCTAGTACTCCAAACGTCACCATGTCACCACTGCTGTCGCATCCGCCGGGCTAGAGTTACCCCACCCGGATAGCCTGGATCGTGAAGCAGATGAATTTTCTGACCAAGCAGCACTCCAAAGACCAACGGTGCAGCCCCAGTCCGCAGTGGAAAATAGCTCCCCACCGACTGCCGCTACTTCCCAAGGGATGGAGGAGGAAGCTAAGTCACAGAAGGAACCAGAGGCTTTCCCTGCGATGGAGAAAGAGGTTGGAGGGCAGAAGGAACCGGACGCTTCCCCAGGGACAGAGAGAGACTGGGAAACAACAGGAACCGGAGGAACAGCGTTCCGCCGCAGCACCCCCAGCCTTCAATTTCCCTATCCGGCGCAAGTTCACACCACAAACCTATCCCGTCTTCAAGGAGGGTTGGGCAGGTTTTTCTCACGGTTTGAATTCCTGCAAGCCTCCCACTGGACAATCCAGGTCAACCTGGAGAAGATGAGGGGATCAGTGCAGGATCCCATTATCCCCCAGGCACGCCCTGACCTGCTTGCGCTTGATGTCTTGTACTCCATGGAGCAGGTACTTTTCCCTTCCAGAAACCCCCTTGATTTCTCTTTGGTTATTCCTTTTTGACATTCTGTTTTCCTTTCCAGGCCCAAGAATCACTCCTCACCCTGACTGAGGAGTACCTGGGTGGAGCATGGGGAAATTGTCGGGCTATGGTGGTACTGAAGGACAAGGAGTTGGCCGCCAGGGCTCTACAACAGAAGGTTGGTTCCCTTGAACAGCAAGTCCAGGCCCTTCAAGAGGAGAATGCCAGGCTCAAGGCGGATGGCTCGGCGGAACTGATGGCTGAAAGGTCCAGGGTCAAATCCCTGCAAGAGCAGATTGCCACCTACCAAAGGACTACCCAGAACCTGGAAACACAGTTCGAAAAACTCCAGGAACAATTCTCCAGCCTGGAGTCAAAGGTCTCGGCCTTGGAAGGCAAAGAGGGGAGTCTGAAAGCCGAACTGGTTGAAAGAGAATCCTGGATCTCAGAGCTGGAGAATTCACTCCAGGGGGCCAAACAAGAGGGTGCCCGCTTCAGTGAGCTCATGTTAAAACATCTGGGGTTGAAACGGATTGCCCTTGATAAGATGGAGATGGAGAGAAAGACTGCCAATGAGCTCCGGTCGAAAGTGGGAGAACTGGAGAAAACTATGGCTTTCCATCAAGAAGAGGTGGCCGCCCTAACTGCCCGTGCCGAGACCCTCGACGAGGAGGGTAAATTCGACATGCAATCCTGCATGTACGAGGCGATCCAGAGTGGTCACCCGGCCCACCGGTCCCTGGACGACTTGATCTCCCACTATGGCTTGCCTCTTCCTCTTCCTCCCCCAGACTCTCGTGCCAATCTGGGATCTTGATTTTCTTTTTCCTCCAACAACTGTTGTAATTTACTCTGTGACATTTTAATTGTAGCAACTTGTTAACGCTTGTAGCATTTAGTCCTTCGCCAATATCTATTTTATTGTTTTAATTCCAGCAGAATCCTTCCTTTGGGCTAACTGTTTTCCCTTCAGGAAATTCGTCTTGCTTTGGGACTTAGCAAAATTTTTATCTGCTTTAAGACTTGGGCTTAAACCACATCTGTAAAGCACTCTCTCCTGCCACGCTAAGTGAATGGCCCACCTTAATTACGCCAGGCCCAATTCACCCCAACCCAATGATGGAACAACTCAACCCTAGCTTTCCTCAGGAATCCGTAACTTTTTCCCAATCGGATAAGTGCTTTGACTCCGCGTCTTTTGCACTTCCCTCTTAGCATTACTCGCCTATTTAAGGAACTAGGCAGAACACCTTGATTATCACAACCAACCTCTCAACATGGCTGATAATGCCAACAGAGTTGTCTTTATTGATCTAACTATTTCCGATTCTTCTTCTGATTCCTCCTCCTTGGCGTTTCCCTCGCTTGGAGCTCCAACACCTGAACTCTCCTCTGGGCCTTCACTTACCTCCAAACAGTCGGTGACTTCTCCCCTGCCCAGGGGGAGAACCATCCTCATCTCCCCTAGCAAGTGTCAGGGGGTATTCTTCCGGATTCCGGCGTGCTTCCTGACGGTACCAGGACGGAAGTCTCTTCTGGCTGTCCTGGTACATCCCGTCCGTAGAAGAGACGCAATCCTCATTCAGAAGCTACCCGGTTGGTCTCCGGTGCGAGGCCTTCCTCCCACGGTTCTCCCTCTCCTCAGTAGTCATATGGACAACACCCTGAGCAGTGGGGGGGTTATGACATGGGGGGAAATAGGCGTCCGTCTATACGGAGGGAAAAGGATGGATCTTTCCGGGATCCGCCTCCCCCTTCAGCGTAGGCGGTAAGAAGCCGTAAATCCTCCTCTTATGCCTCATCGTTCTCCTTATCCACCTAGACGGGAGTCACCGGATGGTATCCACGGGGAATGGTTTTCAATCCCACCCGTTGGTACCATTTCGTTTTCTTCTTTTGAAGGATGCATCAAGAGGACGGTGGGCTCTCTCCACACCTCCCCGCTCCGGCGTTCTTTCTAGTCTAGGCAGGGCAGCAAGGGTCAACAGATTCGTTCCCCTTGCGACACTGTTCCCCACGGATCCATGAAGTGCCGTTTCGCCTAGCCTTCAAATTTTTTTTAATAGTAGGATAGAAGTAGATCAGGGACAAAGTTCATTGTTGTAACCCAAAAGAATGTAATTTTCTATTTGAGTTATCTAATGAAAATCTTTATCTCCCGTCTCTTTAGTGTTTTATTATTAGATCAGGGATAAGGCCCATTATTGCAACCCAAAAGAATGTAATTTTCTATTTGATTTATTTAATGAAAAACCTTTATCTCCTGTCATTTATTATAATCTTACGTTGTGTGCCATCGTCTGCATGAAGTAGAAGTCCATATCTGTTTGACTCTTACCATCCAAGGACGACATTTTTCCCGGAGCGCAGGTGGGCCCACCGAATTGGCCCATGCACTTAAGTGGCGAAGCCCCAGTCAAACCTTGGGAACCTTCAACCACTTAATCCGCCAATCACCAAGTCTTCCGCATCTTCTAACCATATTGGTTGCTTCCCAACAACCCCTTCCCCTTTATTATAAATGGAGAAGGATGGTTTTCTGCCAGTTCATTCCTTTCTGATTTCTTCAACATGACAAGCAAAGCCCAGGGTAAGGTTTTCATCGACCTAACCCTTTATGGAACTTCTTCATCTTCAGATGATAACTTTCCTGCCTCTCCGGCTCAATCCAATGACATGGCTGGGTTGAGTCCCGGCGAATTTTCAAGACTCTATCCACCACCTCATCTTCTTGCGCCTTCACCTCCTAGTCCACCCAGGCACCCGTCCGGGAGGATAGACTGGGACTATATGACCCTCCAAGACTTCGCCTTGTACCAGAGGATGCGCAAGGCTAGACTTGGGCGTTCTTTTCCGCCCGCAGAAATCTCCCAGTGACGGTTCTTCATCTACACCACCTGTTCCCTGGCCTGGGACGTGGGAAGACTATGACATGGGCGAAGCTGATGATTCCGCTGCGTGTCCTTCGTCAGAGAGAAGGAGCCCATGGATGGGGCCCCCACCTCCTTCTAGTTGAATGCATGGGTGCAATTGGCCCTCCTTCAGCGCCTTCACCACCTGCAGATCAATTTTCTTTTTCTTTTTTTAATCTCATTGGGAACCCCTATTGTGAACCAAAGGTGTAGCATTTGGCCCATCAATATTTCCCTTCATGTTTATTTCTTTGCACATCATCAAATGCAAGTACAAATATGTTTATTTCTTTGTATAAAATCTCATCTCCCGGGGTTTGGATATGTCGTGGGGGCTTACCTCATCTGCCCCTGACCTCTGTTCCTCCGAGTTAAGGCATAACCTTATCTGTCTTATATCAGTTGAGCACCAACCCTCGAAGTTTGTTTGCTCGGTTGATCTGTGTTGGTGGAATACTAAGCTTCAGCCCTCGAAGTCTGTTTGCTGTTCTTCCTGAATTCCGGATTGTAAAGGCCCTCAAAGTCCAATCCCAACCCTTTCTTCATATTTGACGGAGGCATAAACTTATCTACCTCCCCAATCTTTAGCAAGTGGCATAAACTTATCTACCTCCCTGTAATGTGGGTCTATCTTGCCCGGGGTGGTCTCCCCCCTCCCTTTTTTTTTAAATTTACAGAACAATGAAATTGCAAAGACACTTGGCTTTAGAGGAAAGAAATTTTTATTGAAACAAATGCCTTAAAACCAAAAATAGAGTGTCTTACAAAACAATTTTACTGATAAAATTTTACCAAGTGCTCTACATTCCACGTGCTATCTATTTCTTTTCCCTTTGGAGTCATCAACTTGTAGGTACCTGGGCGAACCAGGGCCTTGATGATATAAGGTCCTTCATACTTCTTGGCCAACTTTCCGCCCTTAGTTGGTTTACTCTTTTCTCGCTTCCTTAGGACGTAATCCCCCACTTGGAACGCCCTCGGTTTCACCCTACTATCGAAGTAAGATTTCACTTGGCGTCGGTAGTTTTCTGTCCGGACTCGTGCTTCATCCCTTCGCTCTTCTAAGAAGTTCAGTTCGATGGCCTGATTTTGTTCGTTCACTTCCGGGTCATATACCATTTCCCTCCTGGTTGGGATCACCATCTAAGCTGGTGCCCGGGCTTCAAACCCATAAGCCAAGCCAAAAGGAGTGTCACCCGTGGCCCTTCTTGGAGTAGTTCTGTATGTCCACAGGATTCTGGGTAGTTCATCAACCCACTTGCTTCCTTCTGACAGCAGCTTCTTTTTTATTCCGCTTATGATCGTTCTGTTGACGTTCTCCACTTATCCATTAGCCTGAGGATAGGCTACAGACACCTTCGTATGTTGAATTCCCCAAGTTTTGAGGAAGTATTGGAACTCTACCTCTTCAAACTGGGTTCCGTTTTCGGATATGATCTGCTTCGGGACCCTAAACCTACAAAGTATATTGGTTCCCACGAAGTCGATCATTTGCCTCCCTGTGATCCCAGCAAGTGGCTCAGCCTCCACCCATTTGGTAAAATAGTCTATGGCCACCATTATCTATCTTGCCTGTCCAATTCCTTTCGGTAGGGCTCCCACGATATCGATCCCCCACCTGGAGAAAGAGATCACCGAGCTGATGGGTGTGTAGTTTGTGGCTGGCCTTCAGGGCACATTCTGAAATTGTTGACAGGTTGGACACTTGCACACATATTCCTCATAATCCTTCCTCATAGTTGGCCAGAAATATCCCTGGATTACCGCCCTTCTGGATATAGAATATGGGCCCTGATGTGCAGCACATATTCCTTCATGTATCTCTTCCATAAGCGCTCTTGCCTCTGCCGCCCTGAGACAGCGGAGTAAAATGCCGTTGTAAGACCGCTTATACAGGACTCCATCCTGCACCTTGTAGGTGGGTGCTCTCATTCGCAACAACCGGGCCTCCTGAGGATCTTCCGGGGCTACCCCGTCTTCAATGTATCTAGCCAACCTGTCTAACCACTCCAGAGGATCGGCTGATGCCCAGAGCACTTCATCCCTATTGAGACTCGGGGTTGCCAACTCCTCCACAGTTGCTAACGTGCTTATATATTCTGGTGATTCAGCGCCAAGCTTAGATAAAACATTAGCTTCCGCATTGTTCGCCCGAGGTATGTGCTCCAGCTTATACTCGAATCTGCCCAACATTACCAAGGACAAGTCTCGATATCTCTTCATTCTTTCTTCCTTTTCTTCGAACTCCCCACTGATTTGTCCCACAACCAAACGGGAGTCGCTGTATACCTGGACCCTAGACACCCCCAGCTTGCCGAGAATCTTTAGTCCATTGATTAAGGCCTTATATTCAGCTTCATTGTTGGACACACGGAACTGAAACCTGATAGCATAATATATCCGGAAATTTTTTGAGTAATCAAAACAATACCTGCTCCACTGGATCGAGACTCGGAAGATCCATCAATGCTCATCACCCACCAATCATCTTCTACCTGGGTTCCAACCTGGGTTCTTGTCATCTCCCTCGCGGTACACTCAACCTGAAAGCCGGTGAGTGCTTGTCCTTTGATTGATGGACGCGACCTGAACTCCACATTCTACTGACTCATGAAGACCGCCCACTTGGTCATTTGGGCAGACGCCGCCGGGCTTCGAGTAAGTGACGCCAAAGGCTCATTGGTGAGCAGCACAATCCGGTGAGCTTAAATGTACGGGGTTAACCTCTTCGCCGTCCAGAAGACCGCTAACATGGCCTTTTCTAGGCGGGAATACCTTAACTCCGCATCTCTCAAGGTCTTACTGACGTAGAAGACTAGATGCTGGGCCCCATTCTCTTCTCTCACATTCACAGTACTGATGGCACAGTCCGCAATCGCTATGTATAAGATCAGGACATCCCCGGGTTCTGGCTTGGACAAAACCTGGGGACTTGCCAGATATCTCTTCAGCTCTTCGAATGCTGCTTGACACTCTTGCGTCCACTCAAAGGTCGCCCTCTTCTTGATTATAGTAAAGAACGGGTGCGCCTTCTCTACCAACTTTGAAAGGAAACGATTCAAGGCTGCCAATCTCCCCGTCAACCACTGGACTTCCTTCGCCGTCTTCGGTGGTTCCATCTCCATGATGGCCCTAACCTTTTCCGGGTTAGCCTCAATCCCTCTCCGGCTAACCATGTGCCCGAGGAATTTTCCACCCTGAACAGCAAAAGTACATTTCTTCGGATTCAATCTTAAATTTACCTTCATCATGATTTCAAAGACCCTCCTCAGGGTCCCGGACGTGATCTCGGGCCTCTTTGGACTTGACAATCATGTCATCAACATAAGCTTCCATAGTTCGCCCCAAGACGGCTTTGAACACCTGAGAAACCATTCGGGTGTATGTCGCGCCGGGGTTTCTCAGTCCAAATGCCATCACCAAGTAACAGTACAGCCCCTCAGGGGTCATAAAACTTGTCTTCTCAACATCAGCCGGGTGCATCCGAATCTGATGGTAGCCACTAAAAGCGTCCATGAAACTCATTAATTCTGATCCGGCAGTCTCATCCACCATTTGGTCAATATTGCGGAGAGGAAACGGATCCATCAGACATGCTTTGTTCAAATCCGTGTAGTCGACGCACATTCTCCACGAAGGAGGCTTAGGCACTAAGACTACATTTGCCAACCAATCCGGGTAATGCACCTCCCGGATGTGTCCAATGCTCTTCAAGGTTGCAACCTCCTTCTTCACAAAGTCTCTCCTTTCCTACGACAAATGCCTCCGCTTCTGCTTCACTGGTTTAGCATCTCGCAATACATTGAGGCGATGAACTGCGATCTTGTGATCCAGCCCCGGCATATCAGCTGGACTCCATGCAAAGACCTTCCTGAACCTTCTAAGAACAAAGATCACTCGCGACCTGAGTTCAGCCCCCAGGTCCTTTCCAATTCTGACCAACCTTCTTGGTATGCCCAGCTCCAGTTCAACCTCCTCAATGTCGCCTGCAACTTCTACTCTAGGACGTCTCTCCTCGGCCCTTAAGAGCTGTGCGGTCACCTCCCCCACTTGGGTGTCCTATTTGATAGGTTGTTTAATAGCCTTCAAATACCACGTCCGGGAAACTCTCTGGGATCCCCTGGCAATTCCAACTCCATGGGGGGTTGGGAACTTTATGCATAGGTGACGAGGTAGGATGACACACTCCAAATCTTCTAATACGGGTCTGCCCAGAATGATATTGGTATTGGAGATTATACCCACTACAACAAACTCCATGTCCAATTTCTTGGTGGCCTTAGTATCTCCTATCTCGACCGGCAGGGTTATCACCCCATCCGGTTCAATAGAGTCGCCGGTGAACCCGGTCAGAGGAGTCATAATGGGTAATAACTCATCTCTTGTCAAACCAAGAGCCTTGTAAGTATCCATGTACATGATGTTAACGGAACTTCCCGTATCCACCAGAGTCTTGTGGATCAGTAAGTCCATTATATCGATCGTAATCACCAGGGCGTCCCTATGGGGGACCCCTATTTCTGGCAAATCAGCATTAGAAAATATAATCGACTCATTTTTCAGCTTCTTACCTTCTCGGGCCACCACCTTGTTGACTATCGCCGCGTTGGCCCACTTTTTCCGGCTTGTGGTCGAGTCTCCACCAATGTTCCCACCAATGATGTAATTACACCCGTGGTGCCTCTTCTGCCGGTGTGGTGCGGGCTCTGAATCTTCTTCTTCATCTTCATGCCCGATGTGGCGTTTTTCCCGGGCCTCGGCCTGGGCCACCTGCCCATCTCTACGCTTCCCATTCTGAGCATTCGCGGGATTTCCACCGTCCCCATCTTGTACAAATTTCTTCAGATGGCCCCGGCGGATTAGCCTCGCCATCTCATTTTTCAGGGTATAATAGTCTTATGTGTTGTGATCATTCTTGCGATGGTAAGCACACCATTTCCCAGTGTCCTCCACATTGCAGACCTTCTGGGAATAGGTCGGATATGTCATCAGTCCCTGCTGTGCAGCATGGTCCATGACTTCAGCCACCGGCAATGTAAACACTAGATTGGCAAATTTGTGCTTCTCCGAGGTCCCATAGTTTGTGCCCTTTGGGCCATCCGGGAAGCCCTGCTTCTTGTTCTTGAAAGGCTTCTTGTTTCCTGCCTTCTCTTCTTCTTTGGGAGCCTTCTCTTTCTTCTCCTCCTTTCTTTCCTCCAAGGTCACATACCTTCTAGCCCGGACCATTGCTTCTTCAAAGGTATCCGGGGGATGAGTTGTAAGATCGGTATGAAGGAGACCATCTTGCAGCGCCGCCGTGAACATGGCTAACCTGGATTTATCATCGATTCCTTCAACCTCCCTGGATTCTTTTCTCCATCGGACTAGGAAATTCTTCAAGGACTCCCCGTGCTTCTGCCGCACTGAAGCCAAGTGAGTGAAATGATTCTTGGGACGGCAGTTCCCTGCAAAATGCTCTAGGAACCGCAATCCCAACTCATCCCAAGTCCGAATCGATCCGGCAGGAATGTGATTCACCTAGTCTGCAGCCTTGCTATCAACCGTCTGTAAGAAACATCGGCACATCAACGTGTCGCTAGCATCAACAGCGATCATCACCTGGACATAACTATTTATGTGTTCTTGGGGATCCAATTTCCCATCATAACGCTTGACAAACGGCATTTTGAACCCCTGCGAATATGGTTCCGCAAAGATCCTCGGGGCGAGCGGAGTATTCGTCCGGGTAGTGAATACCCGTGCCTTGTTTATCTTCCTCTGCATCTCCTGGATCTGTTGCCTCAAGTCCTGGAACTCTCCAGCTTCCGGTACTTGCGGCCCGAGACGCTGCGGTGCTGGGACCCTTGCTTGGCTCTGAACTTCTTCCTCGTCCAAGATCACCAATGACCGCATCGGCGCTTGGCTCCCACCGCGGCCGGCTCGCTGCCGAGGTTCGCGGTTGGAGGATGCAACTTGGCTGACCTGGGGTCGTACCCAACCCTGGGGTGCCTTGTCCGGATTCTTCCCCAGCCTCTCACTAACGTGAGCCCTCTGGTGAGATATCCTTTCAAAAATTGTCCCCCGCGAGTTTTCGTTTCCATTGCCCATGACTTGACTCACAGCCCTTGTTCGGTCCCCATTCGCCTTATTATTTCGGGCCATTTCCTCCGCTTGGCGCCTAGCGATGGCCTGTCTCTCCTTCTCGACTTCTTCCGGATCGTGAAGTTCTTGGAGGATGGGAGAACTGGCAGTACGCAGGACTTGGCGGGGCTGCCCGGCAGGGACATTCCGAGTACCCGATGGGCCAGGAAGTGCCTGATCCAAGCGTTCCATAATGTTGGCCATCATGTTAGCCACATTATTCAACGCCGTTTCTAGCCCATTGACAGGAACGATCATGCCTTGTTCAGGGTGGTCACTCCTCACCGTCGACTGGGCGGAAGCAGTGGTGTTACGTCTCGTCCTTCGTCCGGCCATAATCTCACAACTTTGTCTCACAGTTTCTCTCAATGGAAGGACCAATGATGGGATTAACCCGATCAGATGGCGGACCAAGAACGCAATATGAATCAGAAAGATATAATCTCGTAATAATATATTATTTAATTAAGTATTTTATTGCTTGGGTTGTGTCTCTTTACAATGGCGGGTTCTTTCCCTTTTATAGTACTTCTAATTTCTCAATTAAAATTACACATAATGGGAGGAATTATGGAGATCATGGGGTTGTGATTCCTTCCTTTCCGGTCTCGTTCTCTTCCCACTCCCCCCACAATCTGGTGGTATGGGCCACGTGTCCTCTTTCTCTCTTGGACTGGATTATCCCAATTTAGCCCATGATTGGGCCGTCCATTTCATCACTTCACATGCGCCTTGGTGGGCTCGATCCGTTACCCGCACTTGGACTTGTCCACTTTGCACGGTTACGGGCCTTTATTGGGCATGGAGTCGGGTCCATCAGACCCGATATCCATCAGATGGTGTTCCAGTATATATATTCAATTTTTCAGCATCTTGATAATATGTTAATAACCAAAATTTAGAAAAAGAAATTTTTTTCTTAAGATTAACTTCACTTGAATAGTAGCTTAGGAAAAAAAGTTAGAAAACTGCTCCATGTATTTCTAAATAAATTGTGCACATTGAACTTAACCAATTGAAAGGTATGAAATTAAACAAAAACAAGTTCCAAATAGATTTGACGTAAAAGAAATGATTTAAAGTTTCTAGTAGCAAACTCATTTTTAAAGAAATTCAAACATATTTGTTACAGAGTTAATTTCAATTTAATGCAACAAATGCAAAAACTTATTTAAGAGTGCTAATTGATTAAAAAACTATTATGATTTCTAATTTTTATTGAAATTCTCTCTTTTTTATAGATCTTCATGTGAAAGATTATTGTTTTCTTAAAAAACTTTTAAAAATTTTAATTTGTTTTATATAACCAAATTGCATCTAAAATGCTAAACTTGACATGAAATACTTTTTTTAATCCAGTTCATGCTCCTAGTATGTGTATAAAAACATGCAAACAAAATTTTTTCCCTGAAATATGCATAACTAAATGCAGAAGCGTCTCCCCACACTTAAATCATGCAGTGTCCTCAATGCATGTCAAAAATATAATAATGATGAACTTATGCACATACAAGATGAAACAATTGACAACATGGAACATGAACAATAATAAAACAGATGCGAGATGATAGGGAGGGATTATAAGATATGACAACTAAACATGCGAGGCAGACAAAGTGCAAGTAAAGAAGAGGATAATAGAAAAGACAAAGGTAAATAAAATGCATAATAGTAAAAATTTAAATATCTGGGTTGCCTCCCAGAAAGCTGCCCTCTTTTAGTGTCTGCGGCTAGACTCGTTATTCTGCTCAGGACAACATGGAGAATCCATATTGTACTCTTAATAACCTATGATCACTTGAAATAACACTCCAGAGCAAACAAATAGCTAATCACAAGGTCAAAGTAAACAATATAAACTAGTTTTAGTATTACTCATAAATTAATTTTCCAAATAAACACATAAAGTTCTAACATCATAGATTCTCAAAAAGTGATCAAGTTTCTGAAAGACTAGATGTTATGGTGTGAGGTATTAACTTGCAAAGCACAAGTAACTAAAGATATACCCGACACTTAAAATAGCATTTTGAAAACAATTTTATTTTTGTTAAATTCTACTAAAACAGTTTTTCTTGTTTCCCTTATTCTAATTTTGGAACTTTAAAACATTGTTTACAAGTAAGGATTTTATTAGTTTGGAGAATCATGTCTGAGAGAAAATTTAGTCATATTTTTGACGATGCACAGAATGTAGGTTAAGATTAGATTTTGAAATAGCTGAGCACAATTATGCGGCTCTTCCCCCTAGTCCGGCGATCACGGTAGCGAGGACGAAGAAGACCCGCTAGGACCGGCGAATCTCCGACGTTTACTCCCTCTGGCTGTTTCGGTCGAACGGAAGGACAAGGACAGAGGTAGGCAGTCGATGGTCAGGTTTTATAAAAAAGAACGGATTTGGGATTTTCCAATGGATTATGATATGTGTACCCCAAGATTTGTACCCCAATTTGTACCCCGCAGTTTTGCACTAACATTTTGTGTTGGTGTAAAACTAATTTTTGTTAAACGCACCAACATTTGTGTCCGTGTGAATTTTTATTAACGCACCAACACTTGTGTCGGTGTAAACCATCGAAATGTTTGTGCAGACCTGTGGTGTACAAATGGGGTATATTTGTTGGTGTAAGTGTAGCATGGTCCTTTTCCAATGGAAAAGGGAAGGTAACGCACGCCTATTTGGTTTGGACCATGCTACATTTACACCAAAAAATATACCTCATTTGTACACCACAGGTTTGCACAAACATTTCGATGGTTTACAACGACACAAGTGTTGGTGCGTTAATAAAAATTCACACGGACACAAATGTTGGTGCCTTTAACAAAAATTAGTTTTACACCAACACAAAGTGTTGGTGCAAAACTGCGGGGTACAAATTGGGGTACACATAGCATAATCCATTTGGTTTTCCTATCATTTATTACGGAGTACTCCCTCCGTCCCCCATAGATCTTCCCAATAGCCATTTTTCTTTGTCCACAATAGATCTTCTCATTTTATTTTTTAACAATTAAAATACCACAATTACCCCACTTACTTTAATTATTACACCTCACCCACCTCATTTAATACACTCCACCCATTTTCATTAAGGGTATTATGGTAAACTTTCACCTTTTTTCATCTCTCCTTAAAAACCACCAAAAGTCAAAATGAGAACATCTAGGGGGACGGAGGGAGTATTATATTACGGAGTACTAAATTCTTTACATTTACTCTGTATTTATTAAACTGTATTCATTGTTTCGCTCATTACAGTGCACACGAGATTCCAAACTTGCCAAACAATATACCGTTGGTCACCTTTTCTCGAGATCTATCTGAAAACCAAATTTTAATTAAAATGGTCAACCTTACAAATAATTCATATTTGGAGTCAATAAATAGTATATTTATTTTTTTTCATTAAAATAACGGCTCACTACTACGCCGGTTTTCATGGCGTTACATTTATTGATCTTTTCATGAACAGTCATTACATTTAGCTTTACAAGCCCATCAGAAATTTAACCTTTTCCTATAAAAATCCCTTTCTTGGACAAGATTAGTTTATCTGATTCAAACACCATCCGAAAGCTGTGTTTGATCAGCAATGACCCTGACACTAAATTCTTGCGAATGTCTAGAACATAGAGCATGTCATTAAGCGTTAGCACTTTGCAAGAGGTCATTTTAAGGTTGATCTTACCAACCCCTTGAACCTCTTATTGGGCCGAGTTGTCCATCTAGACCTTGTCACCGGAGGTCTCTTGGAATTCGTGAAACATGCTCCGATTGGAGCAAATATGGCATGTGGCTCCTGTGTCCACAAACCATTCCATCGGGTTTGACTCGACGAGATACACCTCAGGGATAACTGCGCAGAGGTCCAAGTTGTCGAGCTCTGCGCACATGGCTTCGGTGGTCTTCTTTTTTTGTTGTGGCTTCTTTTTCCTACAATCGGAGGAACGATGCCCGGTAATGCCACAATTGTAGCACTTCCTTGCAAATTTGGAAACGCCACCCTTAGGACCTATTTTCTTTTTGTCCTTCCCCTCGGATTCTCAACCTTGTGAGCAATTGCTCCAGGTTCAGCTCAGTTTTTTTGAGCTTGAGATCGCCTTGGAAATCTTCCCAAGAGCGTGGAAGTTTGTGGATGATGGCCGCCACTTCAAAGGCCTCATTGATGCCTACTTTCTCTTCATTGCATTTATTGAAGATTACCGTAAGCTTCTCAGCCTGGGCACAACAGATTTATTGTCAACCATCTTGTAGTCCAGCATCTTCCCGATAATGAACTTCTTTGTTTCGGCATCTTTAGCTTGATACTTCTTCTTCAAGCTATCCCAAAGCTCCTTGGCAAGCTTTGCACCGGCATAGGTGGGGTACAACGTATCGGCCAACCCCTCGAGAATGTAGTTGATGGTGAGATAGTTGTTATGGTACCATGCTTGGTTCACCATCGCCACGAGGGGGTCGTTTTCCTCGTTCGTTTGGGGAGGATCTTGCTGTATGTACTTAGCAAATCCCAGGATGGTAAAAAAGAACGTCAACTTTTGTTTCCAAATTTTGAAGTTTGTGCCATTGAACTTCGGTGGCCTTTGAACCGTACTAGCGGACACTGATATCAGCCCAACTGCATTGGGCATATGGAGGAAAGGTCCATTAGACGCTCAATGAGGTCTGACGAATGGATTGAGCGTTGCGTTGAATCCCGCGTTCGGTCCAAAGTTGACCGTTGTGGCTGAAGCCATAGTCGGTCCAAGGAAACGGGTTCGTATTACCAACGAGGTAACCCTCGTGGTTTCGAGCCCTGGAATGGATCGACGAGCCGACTCGAAGATCGAGCTCGGCATCGAGAAGGATGTCATTGTAGCGGCCCCCACACTGAAGGGTAACAGTGAGGAAGGCACGACCATGGCAACCGATGAAGTTCCTATTGGAGCTTCGGAACTCATCCTGTTGCCAGAGGAACCCACGGTCCATGCTACTACCCTAAGATTAATACAATTATTACAACGGGAGTATAAATAAAATAATCCGAACTTATAATTCGTTCAGATTTTACAACGAGCAAAAAAAGAAAATAAATAAAATTAATGGAAGCCGAAGGTGGCCGGTGACCGAAAGAAACTGAACGGATAGGAGGGACGAACGAAGAGTGCCTTTACCGAACAACCGAACTGCCTTCCCAGGGATGATCGAACAGAGACGGAGCAGTATAGCTGAACGAAGAAATAAAAATCTTAAGGAAAGCGGAGTCGTCGTACCTTTCCTTAAGGTAGTATTGCCCGCCTCCCGCACTGGCTTACGTGAGCGATCCCCTCCCAGGATAAAACCGCTAGCGCATAAGATATAGAGCAGTAGAACCTTGTGCCGGCAAACGAGAATGACGAGGAGTTTCTACCGGAAACTGATCAGGAATGTGAGAGAGAGAATTGGACGCAGAGACACAAGAATTCCAAGTTTTTTAGTATCTCGTCTCTACAGCAGTGCTCCCTTTAAATATAGGCGAGCCTCAACGAATGCACAGCCACGGAGGAGAAACTGAAGGGTCACGGGGAGACTCTTCAATGGTGTGCACACATGCTTTAGATCCTTTGTTAATACTCCCTCTGTCCGGAAATGATGTTCCCGGTTTGACTATTCCTCATTTTTAAAAGTGGTTGACTATGGAGAGGAATGGTCCAAAATACCATTAATGAACACCCCAATTCCCGCTAAGCACCATTGCCAGCATCTCTTACCAGGCCGCCAGCCCCCCACCACAACCATCGGTCCGTCGCTAGCTACCATCCCCCACCACAATTTCCGCTACCCTTCACTACTGAACACCCCAATTTCCGCTAGCCACCATCTCCGGCATCTCTTACCACACC